AGTGAATAATTTGAAAAAAAAAATAATAATAATAATAATAATAATAAAAAATTAGATTTTATGCAAAATTTTAATTCAAAAAGCACATTGTAAGCAGTATTATTACGTTTAAAAACAATTTCTTAAATTATTTATAATAAAGTGAATAATCTTAATACTGGCTTGGCCACTTCTGAGTGCTAAACAAAAAAGAAAGCTGGCTTTTGAGGACAGTGGTGGTTGGCGAAAATTCCGTCGTAAAGTGCACAGTGTATTCAATACAGTATTAGTAAGTTAACAATAAAAACGGTGTGCTCATTAAAATCTCTACTAAATAAATGCTTGATTATAGTGAATTGATATAATGAATATTAATTTGACACTAAACGCTGATGTCAATGGCGGTGTTACGCTGTTTCTCTGGTAATAAATAAATAAATAAAAAATTACTCATTACTGGGAATCCCGTCTAAGGTCGTTTTGTGTCTTAACTTCCCGGCACCAATTGATAAACTATAGTTTTTGTGCCAGTTCTGCTTCCTCAACCGACTTTGTTCCAGATTATCCAGTTCGCATATTTGCAGCTGGAATTGAAATAAAAAAATTAGATGATTTTTTATTGTGTTTTTTTTTAATACAATTTGAATATTTATAGAATTGTATTGATCAGGTTTCTAAGAAACCAATTCTCTAAGGTGGCACAGTAAAATATTAGTTCTTAAATAAAAAGTAGTCCATTACTTTTGCATTAAATTAAAGGTTTTATTCACCACAGCTTGAATTATCCGTTTTATGTCAAATGTGCAGAGTTTTGTTCGATAACTTTCTACCGTTTTGAAGGTTATGTGACTATGCCTCTCTCATAGAAACCATTGTCAATATTGTCAAAAGTCACAGCACGTGAGACAAACGATTTTCACAGGCTTCTCTTGAGGCCATAAATAGCAACAGATAGTAATCATACTATAAAGTGTATACTTAAGAACCCCGAACCCAACTCTCGGAGCTTCTAATTATCGATGTTTATGGTGTGACGTTGTCCGAATGAAACACAAATACTCTCCTGTACACCAAAATTGTGCGCTTCCCGGCGATTGCTGAGAGAGCAGATCCGAAGTAAGTGTTTAGCCTTCCGGTCGAAATGAAGAACATGAGATTTCGGATCATAAACACGACAAATGAGCATCAAAAGCGTGACATATTCTTATCGCATACATAAATTCAAATAAGTATTAACTATGAAAATCATCATGAAAAGTATGGCTGTAGACTGCTCTTCTTTCTTATTTTTTCCTGATACAGATATGTTTTTGACGGTTAGCACATAAAACATATCGATACGTTAGGTGCTGTGAAAGAATACTAATTTTTAGTATTTTTTAATTTATTCAAAAACGGCTTAAGATAAAGATCTGGAACTGCCAGCATAGAAGTATCCATTTATTACCAAAATGTCCTGTAATGTTTATGCCGATAGCTTTCCTGGACACGATTTACTATACTTTGCGTTCAACATTTTAGTAAATTTAGATAACACCGAATTTTGTGAATTTTTCGTTTCGAAATGTCCATCGATTGTTTCATAAAGGAAACCATTCAAATTTCAAACGTGACATCTTTTTTAAAAAACATAATTATTTGAATACTTCTCTCATACTCGTATATCTTTCTCAGAGTGCTTCAAATCATTTACTACACACTTAAATTTGTGTAAATTTTTGTTTTGATTTATTATGAGCATAGCATCAAACGAATTAGCTGCTCTTCTTCTCAATCATTACCTCTAAGAGTGAGTGCTCCATAGTTGTTGATTGCTGCTGCTACGCTCAATGATGCACAAGTCTATCAGTCAGATAGTGTACACTTTTCATATGACCGACAGAAGAGATGCCGTGCAGAGCGCAGGACGCAAGGCATTTCACAAGTAAATGCATACTAGAGAACGCACTTAATTAAGAACCGACAAATCGCATCAACACATGCCATATACGCGTTGTGACTACAATAAAAATACGTGCGTATATTTTTAGTGGCCCATTGAAAAGTGCTACATACATACATACATACACGTATGTACATGCATAGGTACATATGTGTGTATGGAAAAATTTGTATACATTTTTGTAAAATATTTTGTATGTACATATATACAAATTATAAAATTTATATATATGTATTTATACATTGTTCGACTGTATATAAATACAGGCAAACAGGAAACGCGGGCGTTGAATTGTGTTGCTTTTCACAGCATTTTTCTTGCATCCAATTAAATATATATCATGCGTATCTATAGGGTTATCCAGTTCGTGGTTTCAAAAGTATAGGGTTTTATTTAAAGGGTAAAGCCGCTCTAGAGGTTGAAAAATAGACTAATTTTTTAAAGTTTATTATAGAAGTATGGGAAAAGGAATAGAATTTCTATTTAACCACATCATTGAACATATATTGAAGCACAAAGAAAGTATATTTTAATTATTATTTTGCTACAAAATGACGGTGCTAAAGTTCATTATTCAATCCATGTTTTCTGAAAGGCGTCCATGGGAGGAGATAGTTCTTCTGCAGGATGACACCTAGAACAGAAAAGCAAAAAGTTTTATGATCTGCAAACTATGGTCATTGGAAGTACATACGGATTTATTTTTAATTAATTTTTGTGAAGCAGCGCACTTCTTTGAAAAATATTGATTTTTGGCTAAAAAAAAATAAGCACTAAATTATTAAAAAAAAAAAAAAACATTTACAATTAATCGAAAAACTGCTACGCTCTTTGTGATGGTAGCTTCACAGAAATTTCAGATAAATTAATGCAGTAGAGTCCGAATAATCTGTCCTCCCAGTTTGAAAAATGTGATTTTGAGAAAAACGCATTTGAAGCTTTTAAATGTACTCAGCGCACGCTCTGAGGTGCTGCAGCAAAATAAAAAGTTAAGCTATTTGACGGCTGCGGTAGCCGAGTGGTTACCATTGCGTACTGTCATTTAGAAGGCACGGGTTCAAATCCCGTACGACCAACATCCAGAATTTGCAGAAAATTAATTTAAATAAGAAAATTGGCTAAATTTTCTAACTGCGGTCGCCCCTCGGCAGGGAATGTCCACCCCTCCGAGTGTATTTCTGACATGAAATAAAGCTCCTCATAAAAAACCATCAGCCATTTTTAATCCTTAAATAAAAATTTAAACATGACCATATTACGTGCTTTAAGAGTAGATTATGGAGCACATAAACAGCAAAAAATTGATAAAATTTTTAAAGAAAAGGCTGAACCGATATATCGGTGTTTTGCTAATTTCACCTCAAACATCGCTACTGTAAGTGAAAGTGTGGCCGAAGACCCAAATGTGTCCATTTTCCGACGTCCTCAAGAGCTGGGACTTTTTTGCGACATATTATGTCGAGTTTTGCACTTGGATTTCCATCTGCAACCAATAAAATCCAGTCAACACAACAACTGAAGCCAGCTGACCTGGAAGGCGATTTTCGCACAAAATTTTATTTAGGAACTAGCATATTTCCCACTCGAGAAATACGAAAATAATCACAGTGGTCGCATTTGGGGCTCAGAGAATCCTCAAATTATTATAGGGAGCTCATTATACCCAAAGAAAACTTACTTTCTAGCGCGATCTTTGGTCCAACTTCTTTGAAAGCAATAACGGTAAGACTGTCACTGTCGATTTGAAGCATTATGGATGTATTGTATGATAACCGACTTTTTTGCCATCGTCTTAGCGATGTCATTTGGCCACCGAGATCGTGCGGTTTGATACTGTTGAACATTTGTGGAGCTACGCAAAAGACAGTTTGTATGCGGATAAACCGTCAACTCTTGAGCACTTGAAATACCGCCCGATATGTGCTAAAATTTGGTCGAAAATTACCTCAAACGGAGATTCAAACATTATAATAAAAAATGAATTTCATGTAAACAAAACTTTACGTTTACTTTCGAAACCCCAAAATGGATTGCCCTGTACAATATCATATATTTTGTTTTTAAATATGTGTGAACAAATTTTGATTTTTTATTTATTACTGTCAAATAAACTACATTGGCTGTCAAAGCAAAGATTTTCACTGATAATCGCTAAATAATTTTTTTTTAACAAAAGATTTAGTATTCTTTTCGCAGCATACGGAGGTAGGGGTGAAAAGAATTAGCATGCCAAAGAATGTAGTTCACGATGTAAAATATTAATGTTTTTAACCAGCTCAAATTCACAAAAAAAACCTCTTCGACGGGGTTTATGTGCACTCGTCGTGTTTTTTTTTTTTTTTTTTTTTTTTTTNTGTGCACGTGTCGTGTTTTTTTTTTTTTTTTTTTTTTTTTTTGGTTTTGTGATTGTTTTATGAAAAGTCTTTAAATGAGAAGAAATACACATATAACGATTAAAACTCGGGTTCTGTTGTTCATGTCGTAGCTTTCCTCTACCAAAAAGTGTCTGACTGTGAGGAAAATGTCTATCGAAATTATCTCAAATAAAAAAAAATATACAAAAGGTTTACTTTTAGGTTAGATGAAGACAAGTAGTGATCGATGGAATAGTCATAATTTTGATCTAAAAACAAATGGCGGCTTCACAAAGAAAAAAACGTGGATTTTTTTTAAATTAGAGTTAGAAACCATATTAGTTCTAAGAAAATCGTGTGAAAAGTTTAAGGCGATCGGCCTAGCTGTTTCGGAGACATTTATCTCAACGACCTTGAAAACGTCGTTTCGAAAAAGAAGCTTTTAAAGTTTCCGATTTATGCTCTGCTCACTTTGAAACACTCGGAGACGTCTTTACAATAACTCGAAATTCACAGAAACTATCAACGTATCTGATAAATTTTTCGGACAAAATTTTTTTTAACATCATCATTAAATATATAATTCCTGAAGGGTTCCAGTCTTATGAAAAATCTTGAATAAATTTTTTTTCTTGATGGTTTAAGTACTCTTCAGCATTAAGATTTCCTCTTTTTTATGTCCTTCACCTATCTAAATATTAATTTTTTAATTCCTTTACTTTTAGGCAAGTGCCGGAAAGATGGAAGGCAATCCCGCCGTAGATTTATCAGAAATCGAGCAAATTGTCAAAGAGAAAACCGTACGTATGCATTTATAAATTTTTTTTTATACATATAGTAGTACGTATGTAGTTACCGATAAGAATTTTTGTAAAAAAAAAAAGTTATAATTAAATTTTTTCACTCAATACCATCTCCACACCATAGGAACAACACGAGGAAAAATCTAAAATATTAAAACCAAATGCAAACAATTGCAGCAGTAGTAGCAACGCTGATGTTTGCGCCAGCAATGGTTGCAGCACAGTCAGTGAGCGAACAAATGTTGCCGATAGTTATGAGCATAGCAACTCGTATAATCATGAGGAGGTATGTACTTAAGAAATAAAATTATTAATAGCAAAATGAATAACTGAATTCATGTTTATTCGCCATTTACAGCGCAGCACAGAAAACAGTGATATTGAGAGTGCGCTTAGAAAGCGTCAGTATGCAATTGATGAATTAATAACCACCGAAAAGTCATATATCGAGGACTTGCGTAGTATTGTTCATGGGTATGTAGATATAATTTTGTACTTCAAAAAAAAAATAATATCTAAAATTATACATTTTTTTTTGCGTCTATTTAGTTACCTAGCAGAAGTGCTCGATCCCAATAGTGATATACCAATACCCGATGATCTGAAAGGCGGCAAAGAACGCATGGTTTTTGGCAACATAGAAGCCATCTATGAGTGGCATAAGAAGTAAGTACTAAATAGGTGAAAATTAAATTAAAAAAAATAAATAAAAATTAATAATAAATTTCATTCATTTACTTCCTTTTCAGATCCTTTTTGGATGCGTTAGTACGTTGTCGCAACTCGCCCGCTGATTTGGGCCCTATAATCAAACGTTATTACCATAAATTTGATATGTACAATAAATATTATCAAAATAAGCCGGTCTCAGATCATATTGTGACCACACATCTCGTATATTTTGATCAAATCAGACAGAAGCTTGGTAGTCGTTTGGATGTAAGTGTGTGCACTCTTGAAACTTTCAATTGGAATTTAAAATAAAAATGATTTCTTTTCATATACCTTAGCTCAACGATTTGCTCATAAAACCAGTGCAGAGATTACCTAAATATGAATTATTATTCAGAGAAATTGCCAAACATTCACGCGCTGCTGAACGTGATGCCGAAGTTGTGGGCATTGAACAGGCTATGCAAGAAATGGGTGTAAGTATAATTTACTTCTTTCCAGCTGCAATGTTCATATTATCAGTTTTATCTTTATATTTTTAATGTTTTTTTTTTTACGTGTATCTAGAGGATTTGTAAAGCTGCTAATGAAGCGATGGAGTTGCGTCGCTTACAAAAATTCGAGGGAAAAATCGCATCGCAGGGTAAACTTCTTATGCATGACAAACTGTATTGTATTGAAGACGAAAAGGCGGCGGAACGTAATGCCTATATGTTACAAAAGCCGCGAGAACTTTATGTTTTCTTCTTCGAGCAATGCATCATATTTGCGGATATAGATGGCAAGAAAATGCAATTTAGTAGTCCGACATATACCTATCGTTCGCACATACAGGTGAGCTCATAATTATTTATACAAATATATTGAAAACGTACGTGTTTAGAAATGTTTTTATTTTATTCTAATTCATTTATCTTTATCTTTCTCTCTCCTTCACCCGCTAGGTCAATAAAATGCAATTGGAAGAATTGGAAAACAATCGTTTTCAGCTCAAATCAACCGATCCAAATAAACCGGGTCTAAAAATCATCTGCTACGCCTCCACACCAGAGCTAACCAATGAGTGGTTATGCAAAATACGTAATATACTAACGAAACAACATGAATTCCTTATTGCATTAACCAGTCCAATCGAATATCAACAACAGCAACAGCAGCAGAATTAAAAAAGCATACGCTAAAGAACAACAACAAGCAGAACACACAAAACAAACAACAATCATGTACAATTATTTGCAACAAAGCATTTCATGGAAATTAAAAATAGTACGAAACTAAAATCTTTTTGTTGGTTGTATAATCATGGCAAAATGAAATTTTTAATTGAAAAATGGAGTTAAATAGAATGTTGGGAGAGAGAGAGAGAGCGAGAGCGAGAGAGTTCATATAAAATATGAAAATTATCTGGCGGTTAGTGGATGAAATGCAAGACAAAGTAGCATAAAAGTGCTGCAAGACACACACATATACATACACATGCACTAACGCTTTTGATATTCTAACAATTTTTAATTACTTTCTCTAACTTTAAAAATTTATATTGTGCGCCTTATGTTGAAATAGTTGAGAAAAAGACTATCTATAGAGAACTCACGCCAATTTCAAATCTTATTCATATATACATACTTATCTAAATCTATCCCTTTTTTATTTTCTAGTACTTTGGGTGCATTTTATTCATCTATATGTATGTTTACATATATGAATTGCAATAAGTATTAGCCGTTAGTCTGGCTGTAGTTAAGTCATGGCAATACATACAATACATATTTAAATACAAGAAAATAAAATAAAAACAAAATGCATTGCATGTAATCTTCAGGAAAGTAGTTTTCAAGAAAGTAAGTTATTTTTTAAAATGAAATCATTTTATTTCAACAAATTCGTGTATTTTTAGTGAGTAGATTTCCAAAAAAAAAAATATGAAAAATGAAAATTCTTTGCAATTAAGCGTTCGATATTATTTGTAATTTTATTTAATAATAACTTTATTTTTTCTAATAGTGAAAAAAGGTTAAGATAAAAAAAAAATAAGAAGGAAAACCAGCAGAATAATAAGTTAGAAATATATATATATTGAAATAAATGGCAAGATAAGAGTTGAAAGAAGAATTTGCATAATAAGCTATTATATAATTTAAGTGATCGTAACGAGTGATTTATGCTGTTAAGAAGATATGTATGTATTTAATTTAATTTAACTCATTTCTTTTATAAATTTACAAATTACCTTAATTAAGTACATTTAAAAAAAAAAGAAAATATATAACGTCAAAATGCAATATTTTATGTTTTATTTCAATTCAAATATGTGTGTGTACGGAAGAGGAGTTTTTATATAGTTGCATAAGTACGTACGTTTTGAAAGGCTAACTAAAAATAAACTTCACACATAATTATTTTCCTTTCACCTAATTCACTTCACGCACAAATCTAATCACAAAATGTGCGTTTAAATGGAAAACAACCAAAAGAGAACAAAAAAAAAAACAAACAAAACTTTATTCAAGTGCTAATTACATATACATACATATTAAAAAAAATCATATTTAATGAATTTATAACAATATAAAATAATTAAAATATTATATTAACTGACATTTAACAATAGACCATAATTCATTTAATGATTTGGGAAAAAGTAAAACAAAGCCAGAAATATATATATATATAAACTATATTCATATGTAAGTGCACATGTATGTATGTACTGTAGGTAAGTTAATGTGTGTACTTTTTAAGTCAAAACATCTAAATGTCTAAGTGTGATGCAAGTATAGAATTATTCAAATTACATAGTAACGTTTAGGGCACAATGTACAGTAAATAAAGTTTAAAAATTTAAGCAACAACAAAAAAATCAAATGAAGCATGAAATGTAATAATAGAGTATAGGAGGTAAGTGTTTGCAGAGAAGAGAGTAGTCAGTCGCTTTTTCACCTTTCACCTATTTTTTCTTCTTACATTTGAGTATTTATTGTATTTATTTATAAATTTTATATATATATTTTATTTATTTTTTATATTTACTAAGCTTTCCTTTGCTTAAGTTCTGTTATGAGAGAGAGATGAATATGTTGATGAAAAAACGCTCTTCAGTAATATTTTTTTCCCCCTTTTTTTATTTTAAAGCACGGTTAGTTGTGGCGAATGTGCCCCTAAATGAATCAGATTTTACAATGTTCAAATATAATTAGACTCAAAATTGACGCTGGGTAAAATTTAATAGCAACAAAATAACAATTACTTTATCGGTTGGTTTGAAAGATTACGCTCAAAAAAGAAAAGATTCTTATGTTGATCATGATTTTCGTGCTCGCATAAAATATTGAATTATTTTTCAACCTTACAGAGAGTTGCAAAAAAAAAAACATTTGTTTTGTTGTCGATGCGAGTGCATAGCTCTGAATCCTAAATTAATAAGCATACAAAATATGATAAAAAATGCCATCTACATAGGTAAGAATGCTGACCATAGGATCTAAGGCTCTGTCCCAAGAAGTGCTGGTAGCGTCATTTCGATGCACTGTCGTACAGCTAATGCTTTCTGGGTACAGAGAATATTACATATTTCACCTTAGTTTAACAGGTTTGTGAAATGCATAAAATCAAAATAGCGTAAGAGTGCTTGTAAAAGGTCCAAAAAGAGCTAAAGTATGGAGAAAACAGAAATTTTTTCTTACTCAGTTTATTTTTATTTGTCTTCAATATACATATGTATATATTTTTTATTTTTTTTTTTTGCTTTTTGTATGTACTATAAATGTATGAAAATGGAATTAACTCTAATTAATGAAGCGTCACATTGCACTTTTTTTTGCAAAATATTGCACCAAATAAAAATCAAGGCATAATTTGAGGCGTAGCATTTTGCACAATTTAGATGCAGTGACATTTTTGAAGGTCGTCAACTTAACATAAGCAACAAGCTTAATGATCGCGCAAAATAGAATTGCTCTAAGGATAACGTGGTGTAATTGCATACAATAGTTTACACACATAGTCATTAAAAAATATATACATATAGGTAATTAAAGCTAATGGATTAAGTTTTTTCTTGAAAATGAAAGATGTGTGTTTGTATGTGTAAGATTTTGAAATTGATGAATATGAATATTAAAAGGTAATTAAGGCGATGGATATTGATATGTATTTTTTTACTCAATTACTAAGAGCTCAAAAAATAAATAGTAAGATTAAAGAGTGGAAATTCAACACAAGTTTCAATACTTTACTCTCGTACGTACATACATAAATACATAAGTATATGCATACATAAGAGTATGTACATATATGATATGATGATCATGAAACCAAACTCATAAATTTAAAAAATAAAACCAAAAAATCAGTGTTAAAATGAGTTCAATAAGGATTAAACGAAAGTACACTTTTCTGGTAAGAAGAGAACTATTACAATTTAAACATAAAAAAACAATTTAGTAGAAAATGTACATAACAAATTTTTTTTTTCCTTATCTAACAATGTTTTGTGTCAGTACTCCTCATTTGTCCGGAATCCAATACTTTGTGACTTTGCCTTTTTAAAGGTTATGTTGAAAGAGACTTGTTTTAAAATCACTATGCAAAAACCATAAACTTAAAAACCAGTCTTTTTCGTTTATGTACATTTAAAATTTCGGCGCGGAAGTTACAGTACTGTGGGCGCAATGAACTCAAAGGACCTTCGTTCGAGCTAAGCCGCTCAAAACCTATTACCCTAAAGCGATTATCCCTAAAAGTAGAATGTTTCATAGATTAATTAAATACCTTCGCCAAAAGTTTATATAATTAGTCTACTAAATATTTTGGCTCCAAATTATACTGAAGCCAAAGAGGAACAGCTATCATGAGCCTTAAAACTTGTATAAAAAATTCAAAGGACTTCAATATACATACACATATACATACATGTACACTCCGTCAGAGTCTTTCAAAAATAAATATTCCTTGTACATTTCAAAAAAACTCTTCACCTTTAGTAAAAAGACTCTCGACAACTCCTTGAGTCGGTTATGTAGAAAAGCTTTTTTAGACGTTACCAATTGATACATACATTCTTTGAATAGTAAAATAAATAGAGAAGTGTTGTATATACCACACGGTCTGTTGTGCCCTCAAATTCTTGATTACATTACCTTATGCATTTCTAAGGCTCTCAGGCTTGAAGGTTTCAACGATGTGTTGAATGTGATTCTGTTGCGAGGCGTCTACGATTTTTTGGCTTCCTCTGTCAGCTGGTGGCTCAGGCTGTAACTCTAGGAATGCCTGCCTAGGAACAAAGTATGCTTCCCTTCAACCTTGTCTTTTGAAATTTAAACTGCGTGTTCTGAGCTTAAAGTAGAGTATCACTTGAAGGTAGATTGCTTTGAACCAGGTCTTCATGTTATGCTCGTCCGAAAGCATTGTCTTATTATGCCGAAGTTAGAATTCTGCCAAAGTTGTGAGGTTATTACATAATGTTTTTCTCTAACTAAAAAGTTTTAATTCTTTAGGATGTAATGATATCCGACGTCGAAGTCCTTGTTTTCTTTAGTTTGGTATTTGAAATCTCTTTAAAAAAAATGTCGCAAAAGTGTTTTTCTTCATATTGCCTTATATCCTTACTAATTGGAGATTAATGTAATGAAAATACTTAGATAAATTTAATTTTTAATTCAATAGAAATCTATTGCATTATTCAACTATTTACTAAGAATTAAAGAGAAACTTGGTTGTCATTAAAAAAAATGGGTTTCTCAAATGTACGAAACGTACATCTATGTTATTTATTTATTACTCTAACACCGCATAATCATAAAATCTCACGAACAATTGAAATATTTAATTTATAAGTCATGAGCTAAGCATTAAAAGGATTAAATTATCTAAGCCGACTGTGCAACATGGATTACACGAGTGTGGTTTGATAAAAAATTCTAATAAAAACATACAAACATAGGAATGTGAAAGATACGTATGTACATATGTATGTGTTAAGTTATATTTTCCCAAACTAAAATGAAAAAAAAGTTTGAAAATGTCTATCATAAAACAAAAAATATATATTTGTTTCAATTCATGATTAAATTATATAATTATAGTATTTATTGTAGACAAAATAATTCATCAGGCAACATAATTAATTGATATATCACTTAAATATATCAATGTGAAAAAGGAGAAATTATAAAACAAAAATAATATTAAATATTCTCACCAAACCGTACAGTGGAATAAAGGCAACAAACTTTACTTCGAAATAAAAAAATAAAAATAAAGAATAAAATAAAACCACCTTGAAGTTTTAATATGATTTGTGGGCTAGTAAAGTTAAAGATTTCACTTGGTTTCTATAAAAGAAGCGCATCATTTTCTGAAATTTATCCACAACATTCAAAAGCGCTCGCAATCGGTCTCTAGATATATTTTAATTGAAACTTAAAGCGTTGGATGACAGTCTGATCATGTAATGTACGTTATTAGTTCTGTTCGTTGAGCTGAAGAACAGTAACAAATGTTACCAACCTTTAATGAAATCCTGTGAAGCAAAAAGCCAGTATAATTTATACCAAAAGAGCGCAATTTTGGTATTTACTGCTAATTCTTAATAGTGCCTTGTACAGACCGATTGAAAACATGTTTTCGCAGCAAAAAATGGTTTTCACCAGTGTTTTTCCCAACCAAAAGTAGTTATCACAGCAAAAAAGAGTAGTTTTTGCAGTAAAAAATGGTTTTCGCAACGAAAAATGGCTTCGCGGTAAAAATGGGTTTTGTAGCAAAAGGTGATTTAATCATAGATTTCTGGAACTTCGGGAGTTTATTCTGTTTATGACGTAGGCATTCGATGAAAAATTATATTTCGGACCTAAAACCGATCTTTTCGAAAACATCGAATTTATTTATAGATCGTTCGGGTTTCAATAAATTTTTTGGATACGTAGGTAGCTCTTTGCCTAATACGAAAAACTTTTATTTATCGTTTAATTTACATAAAATTTGGTATAGAGGTAGTTTTGGGCTAAATCTGACATGGTGTATATTTTTTTCAGGAACTGGGCTTTGGTTCTGACTTTTGGAAAAAATTATATTTATTTTTAAATCGTTCAGTTTTCATGAAATTGGGTACAAATTATCGTCCGTAACATTTTTTCCTCCGGCAACTGAACATAGAAAACACTTTGCTTAGATTAAAATTTGAGAGACTTTTATTTTTTTCATACGTTTTAACTTATTAGTTCATAAGTTTTAATATCACAAATAACGTAGAGCCGAATTTTATATATGTTCTTATATAGATCAACGGTAAATAAGTTGGGAGAACACGATAAGTGAATCCCCCTATACTCTGCAAAATTTTTTCTTACAAAATGCAAAGCTGCGTGTACACAGAATATTCGTTTACGTTCCAATTGGCTTCCAAAATCCAAACTGCATCTACTGTCACAACCCAAAAATAATCTGATTGATACATAAATTGCTGAATAATTGTGAAAATAGACTCATTATATTAATTATAAATATTTTTAAATATTAAGATAAAATTTCCACGGTCATAAATAAAGTGATGGAACAGCTACAACAGCATTTGTCAAGTGTTCGCGTACCAGGCGATAATATACCAATTTACAAAGATGAATGTGTCTATTCGTATGATTCACCAGAAACTCCAACAGGACTTTATGTCAGCTTAACAAGTTTCCTGGGTTTTGGTGAAGCTTATGTCAAACGGTATGCTGATAAGACTGGAAATGCAGTATTCTTGCATATACAGCGCGTTAAAACTCCTAAAGTAGGTGAAGGCGGTGCCGCTGCCGGTGCTGAGGAAGGAGGACCGGAACGTAAAATAACCAGACTCGCTATTGGCATTGAGGGTGGATATAATGCTAACGAGAAGAAATACGGTATTTTTGTCACCGATAACGAGAAGAAATACGATATTAAGGATACTTATAGTATTGTTGTTATGCCGGACATTGACAAGAAATTGCCTTTCCCTGACGAGCAATTACCCATGCTTGTCACACAATCTGTAGAGGCTGTTATAACTCAAGAATCAACCATTGCAAAGCTAGAAAAACAAACGCTTACGGGTAAGACCTTGACAGTAAACAAAACATATTAGTTAAGCTGAGAGCAAAACTTTATTTTCAGGAACTTGGGATGGTGAGGTGCGACAGGTATCAAAATATTCGGACGCTTTAATACAACATGATACTGGCAAAAAAATACCACCCTCTGGTTGGAAATGTGAAAAATGTGATTTGACTAATAATTTATGGCTGAATTTAACTGACGGCTCCATACTTTGTGGGCGTAAATTTTTTGATGGCTCTGGTGGCAATGATCATGCTGTGGAATACTATCGCAAAACTGGTTATCCATTAGCGGTTAAATTAGGAACCATTACCGCCGATGGCAAATCTGATGTTTTCTCATATCCAGAAGATGATATGGTCATTGATTCGAATCTTGAAAAACATCTAGCTCATTTTGGTATTAATATGGCAGCAATGAAAAAAAGTGAGAAATCAATGGTCGAATTGGAACTTGAAATTAATCAACGCATAGGTGAATGGTCGTTACTGACTGAAAGCGAAAGCGAACTTCAACCACTGGCTGGCCCAGGCTACACGGGTATGCGAAATCTGGGCAATTCATGTTACATTAACAGTGTTATGCAGGTAATTGCGTGTATGTAGTATATATTAGGCTTACCTCATTAATGTAAAAAAAATTCACAGGTAATATTCACCATTCCCGATTTCATCAAGCGATACGTTGGCGAGGGCGCGGAAAAATTGTTCAATTCATTCCCTTCGGATCCGGCAAATGATTTCAACGTACAAATGGCCAAGTTAGGAAATGGACTGTGGTCAGGCAAATACAGCAGTATAGCAGAAAATTCACTAGATTCCGAAAGTACAGGCATTTCGCCAGCTATGTTTAAAAATGTTATTGGCAAAAACCACCCCTATTTTAGTACGAAATTGCAACAAGATGCCCATGATTTTTATTTGCAACTTGTCAAACTGATCGAGCGAAATTCACGTAATGGAGAAAATAATCCTATAGAAGCACTCACGATAAATTTCGAGGAACGTATAGAGTGTACAAGCACGAAAAGAGTAAAATATTCAAATCGGGACGACTTCTATCTGCCTTTGGATATACCACTGGAGAAGGCAACAAATTTAGATGAGGTCAAGGAATATTTGGAGCGTAAATCTGCTGAAGGTAATAATAGCGGCGACAAAAATATAGTGCGGCATAAAGTGCCATTGCATGCATGCTTAGAACGCCTGTTTGCACCTGAGGAGCTTGGCGAGTACTACTCATCAGCTGCTGATTGTATTACTACTGCCAAAAAAACTACAAGACTGGCTAATATGCCAGATTACCTTATGATGCATTTACACAAATTCACGATCGGTAGTGATTGGGTACCAAAGAAGTTGGATGTGTCAGTAGACATGCCTGACGAAATAGATCTCAGCAACTGGCGCGGAACTGGGATGCAACCAGAAGAGCAAGCGTTTCCGGAAACGGTAGATAAACCGAAATTTTCATTCGATGAAAATCTTATGAGCGAACTTATGCAAATGGGATTCCCACAAGAAGCATGCAAACGTGCTGTATACAATACAAAAAATATTAGTTTAGAAGCGGCTTCCAATTGGCTTATGGAACATATTGGTGATTCAGACATCTCAGACCCATTTGTTTTACCTGCCGATGGTACTGGCGGAAGTGAGAGTAGAACAATAGCGACTCCGGAGAATATAACAATGTTAACAGCAATGGGTTTTGAAGAACGTTTAGTAATCAAAGCATTGAAAGCAACAGATGATAACCTTGAGCGTGCCACCGACTGGATTTTCTCACATGCTGACGATATGGACACTGATGATGTGCCCACCGGAAATGATACTTCTGCTGCTGCTGCTGCCGCCCAGAAAAAGAAATACCGTGATGGTGTGGGGAAATACAAACTCGTAGCTTTCGTCTCGCATATGGGCACATCAGCCCAGGTTGGACACTATGTGTGTCACATACTAAAGGATGGACGATGGGTTATCTTCAACGACAGTAAGGTGGCGATTTCTCAGAACCCACCAAAAGATCTCGGTTATTTATATCTATATAAGCGTTACGAGTAAATTAATAACATATTTGTGGTTAGTTTAAATTCGTATTTCAAACGAACTTGCCTTTAATACTACATATTGAATTATTAAAGTATATTTTTAAATGCAAAGGACTGAAAAAATTTAATACTTCAAGAAAAAAGGCTTACCACTGTTTCCTTATAGAAACAAAATTACGGTACAAGCATATTTATCTAGAAATGTTTTAGCCTTAAAATAATTGCATTATTAATAAAGCAGACAAAATTTTCGCCACCAAGATATTCTTAGCTAGCTCTAATTAAGTGTCCTTTTTCCTGATGTTCTCATGTGTCCAAGCAGGTTTCATAATAGTTTCAACAATATTATCGAGTTTATCTGTGAAAGCTTCAAACGAGAATTTTTGTTGTACTCTTTTACGACCCATCACACCCATACGCTCACGCAATGAATCATCCATGTACAATTGCAACATAGCTTCGGCAAATTTTTGTGGCTGTTTCTCACACAATAATCCTGTAGAGTTGTTTACAATGGTCTCTGTTGGTCCCCCACTGTTCACTGCAATTACTGGCTTAGACATATACATGCCCTCCAATGGCACAATGCCGAAATGCTCGTTATCGGGAGTGTAAAGCAAACAATTTGACTTGTCAAGCAGCACAAATTTTTCATCATCGGTTGGAGATCGTAGCAATAATACGTTTTCCTCCAGTCCTAGTTTGTTCACTAGCTCACGCAGTTCCACATAGTGTTCCAAATTTTCCGAAACCCGTTCATCGTAACCACCAGCTATTATTAAACGACAACGCTTTGAATCTGAAGCAGGTAAGGCATCGACTACCAAACGAAAGGCGTGTAAAGCTAGTGCATGATTCTTCTTCCGTTCATATCGATTAATATCCAGAAAAATAAAACCATTACGTGGTACATTCTCGCAGCCTACTACACTGAACTCATTCCCTTCTTTTTTGGAAATTTTACTTTTCATTGTATCAAAATATTCGGTGTTAAGAGATGGATATAACACGTCAGGTACAACCTTTAGACGATGGAAGGTATCACCAAAAACCCGCAGTGTGAATTTCGAATTAACTAATGTTATATCCGCCATACCAATAGTAAATTCTTCCAAATAGTTTATTGGTGCTCGATAAGCACTTTTTAGATATCCTTCTCGAATACTTAACAATTGGTCAGGAAAATGGCAATAGAATATAATTTTTGGTCGTCTTTTTGCTAGTTTTAATGCAGGCACACCAACAGAGATTTGATCGCAGAAAAAAACATCTATATTTTCATGCCTGGATATCACAAATGATGCGTATAATGCTGCATAGATCATGCGAAAATATGCACACAATGCATAGAATCGGCCAAATATCTTACGTGGCAACCAATCGCCAACGACTTCTACCCGCAAGGTGCCATCGGAAGTTTCTTTAAAACAATGATTTGGGTCATGGTGATTTGTTAGAAAACTAACATCGTGTCCACGGGACTTTAAGGCCAAAGCTGCATCTACAACTAATCGTTCGGCTCCACCAATGCCCAAATCGGGATGAAGAAAAAGAATACGTACCATTTCAGTGGCTGCTTTGTTGGAATAGAAAAAATAAAAATTATAAAATTAATAGATGAATGTTTTTTATAAGTAGTAACCAAATTTTCTATATTTACCAATAACTTTATTGTCATTCAACGGCTTTGAAAATCTGCATTTGATTCACCAACATGAGTCAAGTATGCACAAATCTATGTTTTTAAAGAAGAGAAACAGCTGTTCAAGTAACAAGTATTCAATGTACTGAAGAAGCCAATAAGTAGATTTTTTCTATTTTTGAAAACAATTTTTATTAGCTTATTAGCTTGGCTTTGAATAATTTCAAAGCTAATTTCAATTTTCGTTCAGCAAAGGAGTAAAACCTTAACACATTTTTAAAGGATAACAAAATTGTTATGAAAATGGCAATTTCTACGCTCTAATCCTGAACTGATTTGTATTTAATTTTATACAAATATACTAGTGAATGCTTGCCAAAACTAATAATCTAAAAGTTTAAAAATGTGCTATATCTAGCAGTCATTAAACTTGATGTGTAGATTTCCATCGTAATTTTTGCAAATTGTAAGAATTATAAAAAAATGGAATTTAATATAAGTATCAAAAAAATATGGCAGCATTTAAAATATATAATTTTTAATACAACCTTGTATAAACTATTGGAGCGCACGTGTTGGCTTGTCGGTATATTTTTATAACTTCGTGGTTGATTGTTTGCGAAAAGTATCGAAAAAATGGTTAAATTGCAAAAATCTTTAAAAAAACCTTTTAATTTGGTTGAGAAGAAGAAAAAAAAGTTGGCGGCCCCACCTCTTGCTGGAATTTCAAAAGCAAGTAAAAAAGTTAAACCAATAATTGCTATTGAAAATTCGCCGCCGAAATCCAAGAAGGCAAAATTAGCAAATGTTGTTATTAAAGATGCTGAGGTTGTGGCGCCGATAAAAAAAGAAAAGAAAGAAAAATTAAAAAAAGAACTTGGATCAATAATTGCTGCTGAAAAATCGTTGGAGAATTCCAAGAAGGTAAAACTGTCAAAAGGTGATATCAAAGAGGTTGAGGTTGTAGCGCATTCCAAAAAGGGAAAGAAAGAAAAATTAAAGGAGGAAACCAACAATGCATCTGCTAAGCCAGAAAAGGGAAAGCCTGGTAAAGGTACGGGAAATAAAATGGAGAAACCACAGAAACGGCCATTGGTATTGGCACCACCTGAGTCTCCTGCAGTACCAAAAGCTTCAGCATCTCAAATTCAAGACAAGTCTTTTGTTAAAAGCAAGTCTAAAGCCCAAAAGAAAAAGAATCAAAAAGTAAGCTCTGCTCCAGACGGCCAAAAAACTCCCTTAACAAATTTACAGAAGAAAAAAGCTGCCAAACGAGAATATAAAAAAAAGCAAATTAAAAACAGGCGTGAAAACAAAACTAAAAAAACTAAAAAGGCGGCGCCAAAACGTTTATTTACTGCCCCACCATTCGATGAAGAAAAGTTTAACGCCATAGTATGTGAAGATAATGTGAAAAAAATTGCAAAGGGTTTGAAAACACTGGTTAAAAAGGAAGTGTCTGAAAAGAAGACTGCTATATTCAGTGACTATCAATACTTCCTCAATGTCGCCTGCTTCAAGATACCAAATGTTCCTAAACGGATTGTTAAACTGTATGTTAAAAAAAATAATATTATTTTACATCCATATTTTTCAATTAATCTTTCTTTAAAGTAATTTGAAGCATTCCTTGGTTGATAAAGACGATGATGTTGCAATTATTGTTTCTGATTTGCAACGTGGCGCTAAAGTGGATTATGATCCAACCATTCAGCATTATGAGGACATATTCCGTGAGGCTGGCATTGAAGGACTAACTATTATCCCATTTAATAAACTTAGGAACGAATGTAATACGTTTGAAACAGTGCGCAAATTTGGAAACACATATGACTATTTCTTATGTGATGGCCGTTTGGTAGGTCATGCATCCGGTTTTTGCGGCAAGGTATAATTTTATTTGCATAATTCCCATAATATTAAACTTATAGAATAATTTTATTTAAAACTTAGGTGTTCCAAAAACCGCGTACTACTTTCCATTCCGTGCGTATGGAGAATCAAAAAAATTTGAAACGTGAGATTGAGAAATCTCTACGCCGTACGGCTTATAAGCAATTGGAAAAAGGCGACCTTGTATCAATTCCAGTCGGTAATCACAAATTCACCGAAGATCAATTAGCTGAAAACATAATGCATGTAATGGAGCAATTAAAGAACACTTATCCAGGTGGTTTAGCAAATATACGCGGCATTTATCTAAAAATTAGTATTGCTGGAACATCTTCATTGCCATTATATCTAAGCGCTGCAGAAGCACCCGAAGAAACACCATATGTGGTCGGTCCGCGTGAGAAACGCATGCTAAAACTGAAACATGAAGCTAACGAAGTATTGTCTAATTTCAATCTTACCAAAGAGGGCAATTTATTGAAGCTATCAAAACCGGACATAGAGCGCAAACGAAAATTAAAGGAAATGCGCGCAGCAATGGAAGCGGAAAGTTCAGCAGATAAGACCGATGGTAAACAATCCGTTATACCAGCAAAGAAGTCTAAAATTGAGAAAGGCGTCGTTAGCAGTACCAAAGGTGACAAGGATAAAGGCAAGGATGATAAACCAAGCGTAGAGCAACAGGATGATGAAGATGATGATAAAGATGGAGAACAGGAAGATGAGGATGAGAATGAAAGTGGCGAAGATGAGGATGTTGAAGAAGGTGATAGTGATGAGGAGGGAGATGACGATGAAGAGGGAGAAGATGGCGAGGATGATGATGACGATGATGAGGACGACGAAGAAGCTGGTGATGATGAGGAAAAGGAGGAAGAAGATGATGATGATGATGATGATGATGACGACGACGATAGTGAGGAAGGTGGTGATGAGTAATTTCAAAACAACGCTTGTTTTACCATAAGTCTGCATATTAAATTAAGTTTTTAATTACGAATGAAAAATTGTGAAAGAAATAAGAATAAAACTTAAAATGATGAATTGATTTGTGAATTAAAATCATGTAGATAGCTGTATACCCAAAGCCGAAATCCTAAGGTTGCTCAAAGGCTCAAGTCTGGTCAGACTGAAACATTCAAGTGCCACTAATCTCCACAAGGAATGTAACAAACTTTCCAGAATATATAGCCATAGCAATTGCTGCTCTTAAAACCTCATCACCAATTCGGGTTGTAAATGCCTTTTTTTGAAGGAAAAGAGATCTAAATTTTCTATAATTTGTTTTTGTAGCCATGCTACATAGTAATTTTTTTGTTTATATAAGTACTTACATCAAAAAAAATTACTGAATTTTCTATTTCGATTAGCACTTCTTTCATTTATATATGTGAACAACAAAGTGTTGTTTATGAATTATTTATATTAACTTGAGTTTTGTTCAGACACCCTAATAGAAAGTTATCGGATTAAATGTCAAACTAAAATTATCTAAATGTCAAACGGATCACAAAATATGGTAGCATGGCTTTGTTCTGAGTGTGTTTTTCTTTTAGCTCGTCTCGACAAATTTATTTTAAACAAATAAAAAGAAAATAAAAATAAATAAAGTCAATTAATTTAGAAGTTATTATTGACTAATTAAAAAATTGTGATTAGATTGTTTCCCAAATGGAAAAAATGTGATACATCACAAAAAAACTGTGATTTAGTTGAAATTCGTTGGCGTGAGAAAAATTAACGTAACAATAGTTCTAGCCCTGACAGCAAAACGATGTGGTTTTTATTTCACTCGTAAGGGAATTGTGTCGCGTACATTTTGGTCGGCAGGTAAATTGCTTTTGCCGTGGTACACTTGATAGCAATTGATAAAGATATAGATTATATTCACTCCATTGAGTCCACTAATATTTCGCGACGCGGGTATGCTAATCAGTGGTACACGGCTGCCAGTGTTTACATAAAGCAATTTACTTTAAGTTTGACAAGGTGCTAAGAGAGTCTACGGCAACTACTTTAACAAAAGGCATTGTCCAACGCTCAGCTAAAAACATAAGCAGACAATAGCTCCAATATTGGCTCAGCTGCGGTCTCTTCAGTAATCTGAAGCAGATTTTTAACCGAAAAAGCAGTGTTTCGTCTGCATGTCTGTTCTTTTCTTCAACCATTAATCACATCGAAAACTCGCCTTTAAGATAAAAATTGAACTACAAAATGCCCAAAATTTATATTAAAAAACCATTAGGTGGAATGGTGATACGTAACCGGAATGCAATCAAGGATGTGGTTATTACGGTAAGTAAATTTGATGAAAAACAGACATACATATATGTATGTACATGCATGTGTGTGTATGAAAACTTTTAAATTACTTCTACTCTTTACTCACGTTTTGAGATAGTCATGTTCTGTTGATAATATTCCAATTTTTGATAATGGTAATTGAAGGTGATTCATTCACACCAGTTGCACGATGGCGTATCTAAATAGCTTGTGTCGTGTATCGGTTTATAAGCTTCTTTCACTCTACATATAATATTTACACTATTATCCAAAATACACTTGTCGTCATATATTAGGCGCTCCTGATCAGCGCTACCCGCTGATTCTACCCACATATGTACATACATAAATTGTTTTCAGCATTTACTAGCAGTTCAAAATTTGTGTTGGGCGGTGCTGATGTCGCCTCAATTTAATGTTTTTATACAGATGTACACATGCACACGCGTACGTATGCAAGTTCAAACATATACATAACTCGCGTGTAATTACATGTGGGTGTGCACAAGCATACATACATACATATGTACATAAATTAACTACGTACAAATAAAAGTTAATAAAAATTATTCTTAAAACTACTTCGTGGGTTTATTTTAAAAGCTTCATATTTATTCGTTAACATTTGAAACGAAAAAACGCAACAATTCGGAAAAAAAGTGTTTGATTTCAATGCGATTTCGCCTGCCTTCAATTGCATGTGCCCAAGCTCTTGATTATCGCTATTTACTTTTGGATAAAAAAAAATTTGTATAACGCTTAATTTGATTGTTGTACTAAAAATAGCCAGTTTGAAGCAGTTGAATAACAGATATATGTACATATTTACCATATGCCGGTTTATATACAATGAATACTTAAACAAAGTTGTATGTATATATGTATGTATACATATGTACGCTTGCATAAAAGCATATTAGTTTATCTTTGTAGTCAATTAGTTTAAATAAAGATGCAAAAAAATTTAGTCCCCAATAAAAGCAACATAACAGCCCAAAGTGCACTGTTAAATAATGCACCTGCACGTATATATACGAAGAGAAGCTTTTATTTATTAATTTAATAACTAATTTATATTTTTTTTAGTAATTTGACTTTACGTGAGCCTACTCTATTCATGTGTACGTATTAAGACGCGCGCCTAAAATCCACGTCATTCTAACCGAAAGATAACATAAAATAGTTTTGCTTTTTTTGGGGTATTTCCAAGATATTGGAGAATATTTGAGCTTTTATCGGCTACACAACTTGTGAGTCACTTTTTAAGTGCAGTTGTACATATAAGTATATATATATAAATATGTACATTATATATATGTACATATATACATTTATGTGCATATGTATATAAGCACTTCAGCAAGACACTTGAAAATTTTAAAATACTTTTCAAGCATATATACCAAATGAAATGAGATTTACAATTCCAACCAATTCGAATTGGAACCTCTTCACTTTTGTATGAAAACTTATAAATCAGACCAGAATGACAAGCTGATTTGTTAGCTCCGTCTGTGTCTCTTTCAAAGGCAAACTAGCCCCTCAGTTTCAATCGAACTTGAAAAAAACATATGTGTTTGTATGCTCTATTGATATACTCTATTGATCATTTATCGGAACTGGCCAAATAGAACAGCTGTAATATGTGGAAATCATGTCTTATATACGATTTCATCAGATACTAGGCGGTAAAAAATCCGTAAATCCTCTAAAAGCCTGGAATTTGTTATTCTAAACTCGTTTAGATGACCAAGGTTCTAGTCCTTAACAAAATATTTTTTTTCCTTTCGCCCTTCGAGTGTGTTTCTGACATGAAATAAAAGCTCATAAAAAATCCACTGAAATCATCCTAATCGGAAGCATATAATACAATCGATTTTTCTGATATGAAAATGTAATACAAAAAATGGTTTAAAGACTTCGCCGTCTTCATCTCTTTCTTGTTTTATTTTATGTATTGATTTGAAAATTTCCTTTTGAAAATGTTGTATAAAATCAGTGCTAGAAGTTTTAGAGTCAAAACTTCTTTAAAATGGTCAAACAATCTGTCAAATTTTTAGATATGGGACATGAGAAACAGCTGATAACGTCATATCAGCCGGATACCGCTACACTTATCTGTCAAAGGTTTTTAAATACAAAGCACGAGTGTTGCTCATCAACGTAACTACATATATACGTATTTTATCAGTAATCGTTTTATTTTTTAACTCAATAATATTAACTTACAGAACTTACGATGTACATATGTATATTCAAATGTGCGTGCATAAAAAAATAAAGCACAATTTCAGTTAAAATTGGTTTTTAATGTAATATCCAATTCATTACAAATTAGCATTATTAAATTATATTACGATATACGAGTAGATTTACTCAAAACAAAATATTTCCTACAAAATAACGATTTGTAGTAAAATTGTTAAGCTCGCCAGAGCATTTTGAGCTTATGGACCCCAAATACTCATGTCTATATATTGCGTGCACATAATGCACATTTCTCACACTTGATATGTTATTCACTGGGAATTTTTGAATTTTGCATTATTTTGGTATTTTTTTTTCGTTTTTGTTGTCGTACAAATTTCCCAGTGACCATTTCCGAGAAGAGCTAGTGGGCGAAGAATAAGAAAAGCTGCTCGTACATATAATATTTGAATGAAATTGTATTGTACACGTGATGACGTAAAGCTTGTTGCTCCACACTCATACTAACAGTACTGGCTCTCTCTCTCGCTCTCTATCTCTTCCTTTCTTTTTCCGCGACTCACTCTATTTTGTGGCGATTGTCTCTCATTTTCCGCTTTTCCCATTGAAATCTACGAAATAGTGGTTAAATTGAGCAGTGAGCTTTTCTCTTCTTGATAACATTTAAAGGAAATATATTAAGTGCTTGAATGCATGTATGTACGAGTATGTGTATGGAGTATATATTTTGTATGTGTATTTTGCGAATGTAACAACTTTTTGGAAAATTTCATGCACTGGTAGTTGTAATGATTATGCGTTTTGTTGTTATTATAACTGAGAATGAAAGTAAAAATGATGTCGGTCGGTAAACACGCAAAGAAGCGATTATTGAATTTTTGTACACAATGAATGGGCTGCTAAAAGGAGAGCTTTCAGATGGGTCTGTTGGAATTCAAAGTATAGTTCGAGGAATTTTAAAAATCAAACCTTTGGAAGAAATATTTTTTTTTTCACATTGATTTTTCGTATTTCGTTATTTCGGGGTCTTGCGCCTAAAAGTCTGTAAAGTTTTCTGCTTCTTGCGGCAATGGCTGTAGATTTTAGTGGATTGTTTATTTGTAATTTGTGCTATTGTTCACACATTTTTTTTTGACTTTCCTCAGATCGACGTTATTTGACGGGTGATAGCATTAGCGGCACCATAAAATTTATTTGTATGTGTATTTTAATTATACTTTTTGCCTTAGAGTGGCGTGGATAGTTAATAGACTTTGTAAGACCTATGTTATTAAGCGATTTTCTTATTTTATATTTTTGTATATTTTATTTTGTTTTTCATTTATTTTATTTTATTTTATCTTTTAATTTTATATTATTTTATGTTTGTGCATTCCGTTTTTTTCCAAAAAATAAATAATATACTTTATTTATAACTGTTTATTTTATATTATGATACTATATTTTTAAGTTTATTTCCATCTTTTTATTCCATTTAATTTGATCTTATTTTTTAATGGCTTTTTTATATTTTTTTTTATATTTTCATTTATATTAATGTAATTTAGTTTTTTGCATATTTTCATTTTTTTATATTATTTAATTTGGGGGTGTTTTTAATGTTTTTTTATGTTAATTTTTTAATTTTCTTATTTAATTTTTTTTGTGTGTTATTTTATTTTAGTTTATTTTACTATGCTTTTAATACAATTAAATTTTTATTGTATTATACTATACTTTTAATTTGTTATTTTTTTAATTTCATTTACTCCTTTTTATAACCCGTGTGGAATTCTATTATGTTTTTGTATTTATTTCTTTTCATCTTATCTATTTATTATTATTATTTTATTTTTGTTTACTTTATTTTATACTATATTATATTATTACATTTTATTGATTTACATTTAATATCCTATTTCATTAAATCTTGTTTGATTTGATTAAATTTTAATTTATTTGAGTTTATTTAATATTTTTATTTGTTTTATTTGATTTTAATTTATTTTTTATATTTAGTTTCTATTTTAGATATGAATTTTATTGCAATATACATTGTTTTATTTTATTGGGTTTTTCTTTTTATAAATTATCTTTTGTTGTGCTATATTTTTTATACACTTTAATTAGTTTAATTTAATTTAATTTAATTTTTTTTTTATTTTATGCTATTTTTTATTATATTCTACTTTTCTATTTTTATGTTTTATTTTATTTTTTATTATGGATTTATTTGTATTTTTTTTTTTGCTATATATATTTTTCTTACTTTATTCTAATTTAAGTTATATTTTTCCTCTTTGTTAATTTTTATACCCTTTGGTTATTATTTATTTGATTTTATTACTTATAGTATTTTGCTTTATTTTGTTTTATTTATTTATTTTTAATTCATATTCTTTTATTTCATTTTTTTTTATTTTATTAAATTTTATTTTCATTTATAAAATATCATTTTTTTTTTGAAAATATTTATTTATTATTCATTATTAATTTAATCTTCTTTTTTTAGTTTTATTTCACTCAATGCATTATTTATTGATTTATTTTTTTTTAATATTTAAAAATCCAACAATCATCACTCTTTTTCACGTAAGTTCTGTTGCATTTCCTAAGCACAAATTTGGCCCCGGGCCAATACTGCAACATTTGCCAATTATAGATATAATAAAAAAGTGAATCGAAAGCTTTGTGGAAAGCAAAAGTTTAGTCGTTCATACGCTTTTCCAACTCGTGTATGTGCAAAATGAAACGTGTGCATACGCGAACGGTCGTGAAAACTCGGCTTCCTTTTATATACATTTTTATTTTAGTTATTTCAAATATATTCTAAAACAATAGTCAAAAAGAGAGTTAAAAGAAAGAAAAAAACTATTATAATTCCTAAAAAATTATAACAATAAGAATTGTGCAATGTCAATAATATTTTAACTAAGTTTTACGTATGTATGTACATAACTACAGTTAATTAACGAAATTTGTTGAATTCAGTGTCGCGTTGCCTCAATGTCACAATAGGAGGAGTATGAATAACTGAGAGAACAACAAAGCAAAAACAACTTTCATGCAATAAATAACCACAGCAAGCAACAAAAGTGTTCGAAACGTGTCATCAATCAATATTAAATGAAGCAAAATGAATAAAATTTTCCCCTTACAAATCGATGAATGGGATTAATATGACCACTTCCAAAAAAGAAAAAAAATTTCAAAATGAAAATGTTATTTAATACAAATATGTATGTACATACATATGTACCTGCAGTATAAAGAATTTTTTTTACGATTCTATTGATTTTCTCAGAGACTAACATAATGGAGCATTAAAGTAATAAATCAAAAAAATAAAACAAGCGAAAATGAAAAAAATAACTGATATTCTTGTCCTCCACTTGATTGGCGTTGTAAAATTCCATAGCGTACAGAATACATGTGTGAGCACATAGTTGAGCACAATAAATACATACATACATATATACGCATTTTGGCATATAGTATGTAATGTTTGTATGTGCTGTGTATATACTTATGTATGCCAACTATTTGATAATTTTTGTTGTGCCGTCTTGGCTTTTTTTTCTGTGCGTTGACTTGCTAATTTTTCGCACTGTTAACCGTGTTGTTGTTGCTATTGCAATTTTTTTTCGAGCTCTGTAATACGAGTATGCCCAAACAAAGGAGTTTTTATGCATAAACACATTTGAGCTTGCGACAAGCTGACATGTGTATACATATTATACATACATATGTACATGAAAGAGTTTTAAAGAAAGTCAGCTGGCACGGTTGCTATATGGAAATTGTTGCATAGTTACATACATGCATACATACATACATACATATGTACATATATGTATGTATGTAGTATAAAGGCATGTTGTTATTGTACACCAGCATGTACATACGTTATTATGCCAATTACAATGAGTGTAGAGAAATTTGAAAAATAAAAATCTTGCATCTGACCCCTATATACGTGTACATACTTATGTATGTGTACGTAAATAAATATGTAGGGGCATAAAGCTACAATTTCTTTTATTCTATGTGACATCACGTCTACTCTTTGTGCAACCAATCAATATACATACATACTACAAAGTACATAAGTAAAATATATGTATATGTATATGGTATTCATGTAGCCGATCATTGTGTGGAGCAAGTGATGTGCAACACGGCGTATGCGTAATTTATTTATATATAACCGATCAATAAGTGTATAATTGACAGTTTTTTCCTTGGCTTACATACATACGTACAACGTACAACGTAGGCACACACACACAATGACCCTCAAATGGCGTTAACTAATTATGTCTACAATTTTCAAAATAGAATTCGCATTCACAAGCAAACTTATTAATTAATAGAAGAATTTTCAAAATTTTGCATTTTTCCAGTATTGTTTAGTATTGCTCACTATTGTCTGGTTTAAGTAGTTTTTTTGGTAATTGCAAAAGTCAATAGAGGCAAAGCTGACATTACTGCTTACGAGGGCTGCACCGAAAGTGGTTCGACATTATTTTTTTAATTATTTAATTTCGAGTTTAGGTAATGTTCTATAGGGTTATTCATTGAATGTTTTCAAAAGTACAGCACTGTATTTTGATATATTTCAAACTTAACTGTCAAACCAAACATGTCAGCCATCCATGGAAACGGGACGCCTAACAACTACACAGTGCGTTAAAATTGTTAAAACTGCCATAAAAATGGTTATTCCAACGGGATTACGTTTCGTGCTTTAGAAACAGATTGTGGGGCAGATATTCGTCCAACTATCTTTACGCGATTGGTAAAATTATAAAGAAACTTGGAGAGACTGGATATGTTACATATCTTGTAAGGCCTGCGTATCTTCGTTATGCTCTTTACTATAAGTGAAAGTGTGGCTGAAGACCCAACTGTGTTTATTTTTCGACGTTCTCAAGAGCATGGACTTTCTTACGGTCTTCATCCATATTAAGTTCAGCTCCCAAAGCAACTGAAATCAGTTGACCATTCACAACGACGTACTTACGTCGATCTGGTGCTTGGACAACAAGCAATGAACACCGATATTTCGAACAATATTTTCCTCAGAGACGAGATACATTTCTCACTTTGGGGATACCTAAAAGCGAGACTTTCACAATTGGCAATTAAATAATCCTCAAATAATTTAAGAGAAGTCACACCATAAAAAAAGACTTACTGTCTGGTGCATGTGTCGGTCCGGAGGTGTGATTGGACGTTACTTCTATAAAAAAGACAAAGACGAGACTGTCTCTATAAACTCGAAGCATTCGACTTTTTTTGTGGGGCTACGCGAAAGACCGATCTTATGTGAAAACCCGAACTGCTCCTACCAGAGATTCTGAGATTTTCCAAAAAAGTGATCTATAAGTCCACGAATGAATAAGGTTTTTTAACGTAAAACACTTTCCTAGTTTACTAAAGCAGAATGAAAATTGCGAGTGATCTACGTTTCATTTTAACAAAAGAGATTCCAGTTTGCATTACGACAATACGCATGATCTAAGGAGTGAATGAGTTGTGTTAGGTTGAACTCATCGAGACCATGAGGCGTTTCTCTAGTATCAGTATGCGTATTTATGTTCGCCGAATGAGAGGGTCTGTTAGGCTTACTGGGAGTGGAACGTGTAGAGTGACTCATAACTGGTAAAAATGCGAGGTTTCATTGTTATTAGACAATTAGTCTTTGAATGAGATGTTATTGGTTTACGGGGAATTTCGTCTGTTAAATAATATACACAAGGAAGGGAGTCTCTTAAAGACGACCTGAGGTTGGGCAGGAGCATCGAGGAGACCACTACTGAAATTAACCAAAAAATCATACAAGTTATCCTTGATAATCCACCACTGAAGAAGAAGCAACTCGCAGAAATGTTTTCAAAAACTGCACGATAATCCTGTCATGACTGAGGTCAGCCCAAGATGGCTGCCGAGATTGCTGTATTGCGTTGGCTGCCTTCCATAGGTGGGCTTTGATATTTTGAATCTACCACTCCACATCCGAGAACTGGACAAATACCTGTTTCCAAAAACGAAAAAGAGAGCCGAGAAGTAAAAAATGTATCACCGAAAATGAAATTAAGAAGGCAATTTCGACGTGTTTTGAGATAAAGAGAAAACATTTTTAATTGAAAGATTTGAAGGTGAACATAACATATAATTTGGATTTTTAGTGCCACCCTCGTATACCCTATTCTGCCAATATGAAGAGTTTTTTTTTCGCAGTCTATTAATTTTCTTAGTTGAAGCTTGATTGCTCTTTCGGCACCTGCACTAATGCCGGCAATCTTGTTTCGATAATTTTGCTGTAAAAGAAGCTCAACGATGTGGAAGGCCAATCGGCGAAAACAAACAATGACGGTCGAGTCTAATCGAGTGTCAAAATCGACGCGGACGGTGACTGGTCGTGAAAAGAGGATCACAAAAGGAGAGAAATTGTGTTTCAACAAGTGAATCGCCAGAAGCTCCGAGAGCTTGGTTGGGAGGTTCTTATTGTTGAAGAATAGGTCTGAGAGAAGTCTGAGAAAATCGAGCATCCCAATTTTTTTTTTTGCCGAAAGGAATTGTGTTTCAACAAGTGAATCGCCAGAAGCTCCAAGAGCTTGTTTGGGAGGTTCTTATCCATACACCTTATTCCGGACCGCGCATCAAGTAATTACGATCTGTTGTGCCTGTAGGGAATGATGCTTTTCTATGAGAGGGCATAATGGCATTACCTTCAAAATTTCATAAATTTATCTTACGAAAATTGAATAATTCGAATTTAATGTAAAAATAATGTATTACTTTTTACTAGACCAATATTTCCACCACTGGGTAAAATTACTCACATATCTGGCTCAATGTTATTTATTAATTTTTTTTTTGACGGCTTCACAATGTTTTATTTCAAAATATAATAAATAAAAATAGAGAAACAAATCAAAAGTGCAATAAATTTTCTTGTATGATTACGCTGGGAAAATATTAATGAATAATAAAAGAAAAGATAAAAAATTAAACCTTTTTTTTACCAAGGAAAGCATTAAGCATAAGATAAAACTAATAAAGCAAGCGCAAGAGCGCTTCTAAGTTCTCCAATCCAAAACACGGTAGCCTCTTTTTGCACGCACTCACCTCACATTCAACAAATATTTGATGTATTTGCACAGTCCTAAATCGCAGGAGATAAGAAATATGTTAAACATGTGAAGCGTAATGATGACATGCGACGTGTATCTGCTGACAGCCAATGTGTAAACAGTAAATTCAACAGCGAACAGATAACAGTTGTAAACAAGTGAAAAACTAACACCAAAAGATAAAAATAAAGTGAGGCACGTAGCAAAAAGTGAATCCAAACTCTGCTCCGCTTGCAGTTTCAAATGATTCATTGAGCGGTTGAAAAGCTTCTGCTAAGCGTTTACGACAGGCAAAATGAATATGTGAAAACACGTTTCGAATGCTATTGGTGGACATAAAAAAAAAAAAATTATTGTATCAAATAAGCGTAGCTTATGGCTCATATTGTGCGCTGACACATTCGTTTATAGGAATAAAACATATGTATATATATGTAGTATAAAATGTGGAATTTACGTTTTTTATTTTTGATAAATGAATGAGTTTATTACGAAAAAAAAAAACAAAATAAAAAGAAAAAAAATATGAAAAATTTTAAAAATTTTAAGCAAATTAATTAGTGCTTCATTAGATGCCGCGTAGTGTTAAGCAGTATTTATCGTTAGAACCCTAATAAAAGTTTATTCAAACTCGTATAAATCATGCTGTGATCGTTAATGCAAAACAAATTAATAACAAAGAAAATAAAAAGATAAGTTAAATTGTGCGCATAATTAAATAAAGCATAATCGTTTCGGAAAATCAGCAAGAAGTTACGGGAAGAGAGACAGAGAGAAAGAGAGAGAGAGTGTTTGGCTGTGTGTGTGATACGCTTGGCGATATTGTGTGCAATTAAGATTGAGAATTCCAATGCCTTCATGGTGTGTGCATAAAAAAGCAACAAAATTAAGTACAACAGCTTTATAAACAATTAATAAAAATACTTCTCACCAACATACCATACATACATATTAATAAAATATATAGCTTAAACAATTAAAATAAAGTAGTACATAAAAAACATATATTATCGAATTATTCTAAACAATCGAAGGAGAAAAATTATCGATTATTTTTTTTTGCAAATGTACAACATTTGTCATAGAAATAAGTTGAAGCACTTTGCGCCGTCATGAGCATAGATGTCACCGCTACTCATGATGTCGCCGAAACTTCCAACACAGATGATCCAGTCTCCAGCTGTGAGATCACAGATGTCGATACGACCAGTTTTGAAATTGAAGAGAGTGAGGATGAGGCCACCATTACGGACATGCTGGTCGATGATGTGGCCACCGCCCCGCCACTGATCATAGAAATGGCCGATACGCTGTGCAACAATGTGGGCACGCGTAGCAGTAGAAGCAGCAGCAACAGCAGCAACAAGAGCAGCACCAGTCATAGCAACAGCAGCACCTACAGTATTGGCAATATACCGTGCGATGCTAATGCGAATGTATCAAGTGATCTCAATAAGAATGAATTTATAGCTGTTGTTACTATAAATTCGCTTAATCCATTAACAACCAGCCATGCGGATGAAACACAAGCAGTTGCCGACCAGCCGCACCAGCAACAGCGATTAAAGCAACAACATACTCACAATACGCCAGCAGTTTTAATTCGACAAGATACTGAGGAGACTAATAGTGGTTCGAAATCTTCCACTGCATCGCACACCACTTCATCAACACCTACAACCGCAGATGTCGCTAATGTTACGATGGATGGTTGTGCTTATAATTTGTCGAAGAAACAACAGTTTAGTAATGCCACAAATGCTTTGCCAGCAGCTACACAAGCACAATTGAAAATGATCGTCGCTTCGATCGCTAATGCACAACAACAACAACAACAACAACAGCTTTTGATAGATGGCACAAATACAACTTCCATATCTGAAGACAATATCTCGTTTTCCATCGCCACAACAACCACAACAACCATTACTGATTTAGACGCTGACAATATTTGCACCGCCAGTCCAGACGCAGCCAAGTTGGCGTTGACCAAACGTGCACTACAAAATCAGTTAGCTAATAATAATTATAGCCAGAATCGGCCATCGTCGTCGAATGTCGTTACCATTGTTGGTGGTGGTGGTGCCGTTGATGATGAGGACGATGATCCGACTGGCTTGTCTTATGTAACCAGTGGTAACGACTTGCCATTGCCGTCGGTGCGTACGGTGAAGACGGAGTGGCGTTGGGTGAATTGGGTACGATGGATGTGCCTGCACTTTAAGGTGAGAAATTGGAGGATGTTATGTTGGAATTAAAATGAGTTGTGCCAAAATGTTTTTTTTTTTTGAACAGGAATGCAGCGAACACGATTCTTTCTTATATTATTGGGGAAATAATAATAATGAAAACACTCGATATGAAAATTTTGGGAACAAAAAAAGTAAATATTACATTATTTAACGTTCCGATCAATCTTTTTGTTTTCATGTAAACAAAATCATTGGAAAAATTCCGAGCAAAATTGAAATGAAATTTACCAATGGAAGATATTTGACAGAAGCTGTCTAATTTTTTTTTTCTAAAATCGGTACGTAAAACCAATTTTTTCGATATCAAGCTCCTAATTCTGGATTTAAATTTTTCTAAACATATTTGATGGATGTCTTGTGGTACGCATTTTTCCTATTTTAAGGGGTTACATAGGTCTTGAAACTTCAAAAAATTCATTTTTTTTGATAACTTTTTGTATAAAAGTACAGAGTGTCAGGAATGTTTTCCCCAAGTTTCAAGTCGCAGGAGACGAAACTGTAGAAATTAGAGAGTTTTATCACCCGCCGTCTTTGTCGTAGCTTGAGCGATGGCGAAACCACTTTATCGAAATCGGTAGTCAATATTTCTGAACGACTATTGAAGCGATAGGGTTCAAATTTTCAACATTCTTTGAAGCATGCTTTTGTAGTCCCTGAACGAAGGATTTATTTTATCTTTGATTTCAACTCATTTTACAAGCCAATATGTGGCCTAATTTTATGCAAAAAATGGCGTTTTTTTTTGTAAAAAATGCTACAAAAAATTTAATTTTGAATTTTTCTTCGTTCAGAGACAAGGAAAATTCACCTATTTTGAGAAAAATTTGGATTTTTGATTTCAGATAAAAATTGAAAAAGTTATCATGACTACCGCGAAAGCACTTTCTGGTGCACGGTCTACTTCAAGACACTGCCAACGGCTAGACTTATAATATTTTTCATTCAAATTTTCATCAAATGTTTTCCACATATTGTACTTTTATATGTAAAAAAATTAATTTTATACTTTCTTTAGTAGTATCTTTTAAAAAAATTAGAGAAAATAAGCCTTTTTTTTGGCCTTCAAGACCTTTGTAACCCCTTAAGTGTACACCACAAAATGGAGCAGGACCGCGACTGAAAATCGCCTCAGCGGTTAGGAAGAGGCATATATATACATATTAAATTCTAAGCATAAACGAAAGTTAGGTTATGAAGAAAATTTTCTATTAAGTTTTACTTAAATTTCTTTCAAACGTTTTTCCTGCTATGAATTCGTTCCAAAGAGTTTCATGTGTTTAATAGCGGAAAAAGGGTATATTTTTTAACAATTAATTTTTATATATAAAAATAAAATATTTTAATCAAACTATTTATCTGTGAAAAATAATTATTAAATTTAAAATTAAAGATATTCATAACTCCGCCTTTGTGAAGTCATTTCTGGTGACCTCTCGGCCTTGACAGTAGAACTCATAGTCGCGCTTGAAAAACAACCTTCGTTCAATTCTTCGTGAATTGGTCGGTTGAGTAGTTTTAGAAAACTTTTGACAAATGACTTTAAAGGTACGAATTGTGAAAAACGCGTTTAAGTTTACAGCACTGAACCTGCCTGCCTTTGAAGGCACACCTTCGCAGGGCTGTAACTCCGAAACTTTTATTCGGTTCGAATTGAACTTTTTCAGGATAGTAACATTCTCGAGATGTTGTAGAAATTTGTGAGATAATAAAGGTAATCGGTTTTTTCAAACTGTGAAACTCATTGAACCTCTTAAATATTTTTTTAAGGCAGAAAATGATGGAACGGAATGTAGGCAATAAGATAGTATATGAAGCAACGAAAAGAATATACTTTTTGCTTGTCCGATATTCCATTAATTTAATAACCATAAAACTCGTTTTTATAATATCCATTAATCGCTTCGAAGATTTTCCAAATACGTTGACAATCTATCACCGACAAAATTAACATGTCGCTCAGGTTCGGAGAAAAAATTCTAAAAATTAAAATAAAAAAAATCCGAATTCAAAATATGGATTAAGTTTCATAGAAGAATGAAGAACCAAATATTAGGATGTCATATAATGACCCTGCACCCATGGCATTAAAAGGACCATTGTGACACCACCTGGGTTGAAACTCTATTCACTCTGCTATGCTCCCTCTGAACCAGTCTGTGGTCTTGGTAAAGTTAATCAATTTGTATTTTCTATAGAAAACTATGTACCCACATGCAAGATATTACACAGTTTCTGCTTTTTAATAGTAGTTCTGTGGGGTCCACGTTTGCTTGTTTCTCTTCCAAATGGCACAGAGATAGACCCATCAAGTATTACACCGATCGGATCAAAACGATAAGCTTAGCTCATTTTGTCATGTCTGTTTGTCTGTCTGTCCGTCTGTCCGTCTGTCCATTTGTTTAAACGCGATCTCGTCCAAACTTTGTATGCAGTTCTATTTTTATACCAGACGGAAATATTTCTCACATCATATATTGTATACAACCGATTTGTCAGTTTTGAGATTTTGGGCCATAAATTTGTCCAAAAATCATATAGGAGCATGAAATTTGCTATTCTACACACATACTATGAAATACATACGTTGATACTGAATATCATCGAGATCGGATGATATTCTATAATAAATAATATAGCCTCCGTGCAAACGATTTGTTGAGAAATGGGGTTTTCGGTCAAAAATCCACCAAAATAGCATCAAAAATCTTAAATTTTCCTTTGCTCACCGAAAATCATCGAAATCGGAGTACGATATCATATAGCTCCCATACAACCAATATTTCAGTTGTGAAAATTTATATTCATTCCTAAAATGAAATAAAGTAATGAAAGGTATAAAGACTTTGGCATGACCGACGACGGGAACTGATAAGGCACATACATTTACATTTATAGATGATTATAAATGAAGTAATAAAGGAATATAAAAAATCTTATTAAACAGTTGCTTTTAGTAACCGTTAAATAAAGACACGTTATTGTATTTATAAAATCTTCCATTTAAATAAAGTAATAAAAGAACAAAAAAATGTTATTAAATAGTTGCTTTTAGTAACTGTTAAAATATATATAAAAACACGTTATTGTTATTATAAAATCTTCCATTTATTTAACCAACACAGCACCTTTTATGATATTAGTTATTGTAGTTGAATAAATATTAGTCCCTTGGCTTTGTTTCAAATTTGACTGCAAATATTTGACACTGAAATTTTTTATACTCTTCATGGTAACAGAGAAATATTATATTTGTTTTCACACATAAATATATTAAGCGCGTGTTGAAAGTGAAATTCACACTTATTAGTTGGTTCTTAACTCTTCAAATAATTTTCGTATGAATTTTTATAAGAAAATGTTATAAGCTCAAGAGCATAAAAATTTTTTAAACTACTAGTATAGAAGAACTTATGCATACTCTCTTTGAAAGAATTAATTTCTTACAATAGAAATTTCAGAATTATGCAGTATGACAAGCCATTGCCATATGCAAATGAATATTGTTCTGAAGATGTTTGAAAATGTCTTTCAATAGAACCGTTATTATTACTTCAGCAGAAATTTTCCTCTCGGAGCTTATTTATCTTGTTTGCTTAATTTGATCAAGCAGCGAGGTTTCTTTTAATTTACATATATATACGTGTACATATACTTAAGTAAGCAAATGCATGTTCTCCTGAAGAGCGTATGCGTCACTTGCATAAGCATATGGCATTCTTAATTGTATAATGAAATCGGTCACTAACTTTTTTAAACGAAATTAATAAAGCGAAAGTGATACAATTGTATACATACACGTACATAGTATATATATAAGATGTGTATACTGAATTCAAGGTATTATTCTATGGAAAAACATGTGCACGTTTCGTTGATAATAATTTCTATGAGAAGTGTATGATTTTAAATGAAATTTGGATGCTCTCTACAAAGAGAATTTTTTATTTCAAATATACAATGTACAAATGTGATTAGTATATGCCACGCCAAAAATTTTTTAAAAATATTTCAGCTCAATTTCTATGTTTTATCATGAATTTAAATCACATCCAAATTTCAGGCAGATCAAAACCTTGGCTTAGATGCCGCACACTTTTAATCTTGGTATAAGTACTACAGCTGCAAATCGTTCCAAAAAGACTTTGATTTGATCTACAGCAATAAAATCTCGCCTTTTTTAAGTAATAAAACAAAATCACTGAGCTGATCGATTGCTTTGTGCCTTTAGAAAATCCATTAATGCTAAATTTTAACAAACAAAGTTCCAGTGTAAGCTTTTTACAAAATCTTCTTTACGACTTTAAAGATCAAAATGGTATTATTTTTTGAAATAAATATTTGACAGAAAAAGTTTAAGTCTAGGCATGTAGACAGCTCCATCTGGAAAGAGACCAATTTATTATTATTATGATAGGTGTTTGCATTAATTCGCATTCGCATTTTCGTGTCGTTGATGTCAGTAGATGTCATTTCTTTTAGCGTGAACAACAATTTGTTGCATTCATTTAAAAAGGTCGAAATTTGTACCAGATAAAGTGTTTTTGCGGGGAGTTCTTCTTCATTACTTTAACATGAAGAAAAGTGCTATTGAAAGCCATAAATTTTTACTGGACGTTTATGGCGACCATGCTTTAGCCGAACGAACGTGCCAAAAGTGGCTTGCACGGTTTAAAAGTGGCAATTTCGACTTAGACGACGGACTGCCAAAAAAATTTCAAGACGAAGAATTGGAGACATTGCTCGACGCAGATGCATGGCAGACGCAAGAAGAACTCGCAAAAGTGTTAGGAATTGATCAAGCAACCGTTTCCAAACGATTAAAATCATTTTTTTTCACAATAAAGTCTTAATTTTCGAAAGAAGAACCGCACGATTAGTATTTTTCTTAATTTAGAGTCGACTTTGATCGAATTATAATTATTTAAGAAAAAAATATTAATTATTTGACAGAAGAAGTTTAACTCCAGGTGTGTAGACAGCTGAGTCTTTAACCATGCTCACTTTATACCCAATCCTTCTTGAATATTTTATTAATGATTATAAAATTTTTCATTTCAGAGTTCCGGTATCGGCGAGCCCAGTGTGTATCATGCCTTGGTTGTAATATTTTTAGAATTCTTTGCTTGGGGTCTCTTAACGATGCCAGTAATATCGGTATGTATGGCGATTAAAAGGCTATTTCTTTGTAAACTGTCATATTTTAAAACGCAATCCCGATAAACCTAGCAGAATTGTTCGTCGTACGATTGCGAGAAATGCTGCACCTAAAACTATGCATACAACTATTATATTTTGTTTTTTTTTAGCATAGTTTTTGGCGCATCATTTTCACATTGAAATTTTTAATTAATTATAAATTTTTATCTGTTTTCTCTTCTTATTATTAATCCTTTTTTTCTCTTTTGCAGACCCTCAATCAAACATTTCCCGATCACACGTTCCTCATGAACGGTCTGGTCATGGGCATTAAAGGCATATTGTCCTTTTTGAGCGCACCACTAGTCGGTGCACTCTCCGATATATGGGGACGTAAATTTTTCCTACTCATCACAGTATTTTTTACGTGTGCACCAATACCGCTAATGGCCATCAATTCATGGTGGTTTTTCGCAATGATCTCGATAAGTGGTGCACTGGCAGTTACTTTTTCAGTAGTATTTGCTTATGTGGCTGATGTCACTACCGTTGAGGAGAGGTCGCGTGCGTATGGCTTAGTTTCAGCTACGTTCGCCGCCAGTCTGGTATGTATATATGTATGTTTAATTGCCATGTCTATATTGTATAGTTTTGTATACAAACATAAGTATGTATACTTGTACATACATATTTATATTAAAATGGGTGTAATTGTGCTGATGAATACCTTAGAAATGTGTGACAAGTGGTAAACTTAATTAAAATAAAAATGAACACAATATATGTATCTACATATGTATAATCGTTTTTTTTCTTTTTGCATTCCTCTTATTTAGGTGATTTCACCCGCACTTGGCGCTTTGCTAATGGAAACGTATGGTGATACATTAGTGGCAGCGCTTGCGACCGCCATAGCGGTTCTTGACGTTTTCTTTATATTAGTTGCCGTGCCCGAAAGCTTGCCGGAGAAAATACGTCCTTCATCATGGGGTGCGCCAATTAGCTGGGAGCAGGCTGATCCCTTTTCTGTAAGTATTCAAATACTTCAACATACTTATTAGACAATTTTCAACACCAACACCTCCTAATAGCCTGTTTGTTGTCTGCATTGTCTATATTGAAATACTTATACTATATTTCGTTTTAATTTGTTTAATGCATGTAGGCCTTACGTAAGGTGGGCTCCGATCAGACCATACTTATGCAATGTGTTGCTGTGCTTTTGTCATATCTGCCCGAGGCGGGACAATATTCATGTATATTTGTTTATTTAAAATTAAAAATGGGCTTCAATTCAATGGAGGTGGCAGTTTTCATAGCTGTTGTTGGTACGTTAAGCATATCCGTGCAAGTGACTTTGGGTTACCTAATGCGGTGAGTATGAGATTGACGTGCAGTCATTTCATTTGCATTCGTAAAATGTTTGATTGATTTTCTTTTATTGGAGTACAAGCAAGGTTGCTGAATTTTTTCTTTTCTTTTAATTTCAGGGTCTTTGGTGCAAAGAATACTATTATTTTAGGTTTAGTGCTAGAAATGTTACAGTTATTGTGGTATGGCTTGGGCAGCAAGTCTTGGTGAGTTCGTAAATTGAAATATGGTGAATTTCATTTACTTATTTCTTCCTAAATTTTCTCCTTAAAGGATGATGTGGGCAGCTGGCATATTGGCTGCACTTGGTTCGATAACTTATCCAGCGATAAGCGCTTTTGTTTCAATTCATTCTCATCCCGATAGGCAAGGTAAGTTTTTTTAGAATAAAAATTCTCTTTGATATGTATGGACAAAGAAGCCCTTCGGATCTGAAACCTCTGAGCACAAGATGATCTGAAAAATTATAAAACTAAGACTGACATCACGGTCTTGCGACGGACAGGACAGGATGGCAGAAGATAGGTACTTGCGAAATCTATTACTGTGGTCATATAAAGGATACAAAATTTGGTGTTGGATTTATGGTGGAGAGACAGTCTCCGAGTATTAACCTTCACTCCGGCGGTAAATATTACCTGTTGACCTAAACGGGGTTAGGTCGCCGAAAGGGTGCCAGCCCTTGGCCGGATAAAATCCGGGTCAACTCTGGTACGTATAACCGGTAGTCTTGAGAGTTGTCGAGCACCTAACCGAGGTGGAGGACCCTGATACAACTCAGGTCTGGATACTGTAGCAGGTTAAACTCTTACTTATCCAGACTAGACCCCAGCATACCCAACGTATGCCCTGCATGTGGAGAGTCTCCGCACGACACTAACCACCTCTTCACATGCCCTCCCAAACCAACTTATCTAACCCTCCTCTCCCTTTGGTCCAACCCCGCCGAAACAGCTCGTTTCCTGGACCTACCAGTCTCAATTAGACTCCAAGCTCTTTTTTTTGACATTTTTTCGAGTGATGGTGGGTGAAGCACCTATCTTTAGCTGAGTAGGCGAAATATTCAGCCGGCGTCTGGAATATCTTTATCTCAATTTCAACATAAAAAGATTCATCAAGGCACATGGTTACCACCAGGTCAATTCCGCTGTGACAGGCGGAAGACTTTTAGTATTTCAGATTCGTGTACTCTCCAAGGAGCTAAAATCGACTCGGATCAATGCAGGCAGTGTGAGAAGAGTAACGAATACCAAAGGCGAAGGTAATACGCATTGCTAAAGGAGAAAACAGAGGCTGAAATGTGTATGAACGAAGTCTTGAAGAAAATTGCGACTTCGTTGTCATTGAGAGAATATTCTCCAGTCTGTTTAAATGCAGATGTATAAAAGCCAGGGAAAATGGATAATAGATGAGCAGGTCATGTAAAGCCCGTCTTTTTTTTATTCGAATATAATTTTTCGCTGGTTGAACAAAAGCCACGCTCAACAACTTTTTGATCCTTAATATGCTATATATCAAGAAGACTTCTTTAAAGTCATATTTTTTTATGAAATAAGTTACTCCTTCGCAGTATAACTCATTTCTGTTAATTTTTTTGCAGGAGCCGTTCAAGGAATGGTAACTGGCATGCGTGGTTTATGCAATGGATTGGGACCAGCACTATTTGGTGTAATTTTCTATCTATTCAATGTGGATTTGAATGATGACATAATGGGAAAACCTGATGATTCAGTACAAAATGAAAATAATAAATACACAGAGCTGATACCAGGTCCACCCTTCGCAATTGGCGCGCTTATGGTAATATTGGCAATCTTGGTTGCCATCTACATTCCAGATAAACATAATGAGATTATTGTGAATCGATCTTCAAGTGAAAAGAAGCGTAAGTATTTCAGAACTTTATACATGTAGTATATTAAAAAAAAGCATTTAAACCAATCCTATTAACTGTTTTCTTTTCTAGGTGCCTCTGTGGATGTGCAGTACGAAATTGAATGTGGCAACAAGTCGACGAGTCCACTAGCACCGCTAATGCGATCCGACTCAATGGCACAATTGTAGTTTTTAGTAAATTAAAACCAAAAAAATATACACATACTATAAAAAAGGACATATTTGTTTTCGTATTTTTTGATGAATTTGTGAAAAGCAGTGCGGAAAGGCGAAAGGCAAAAGAAAGAAATGATAAAAAAATAACAAACTTTAATTAAGTGCTGACTTTTTATTTTGTAGTTGCTAAATTTTAAGCTAATAACAAAATGAATTCCTAATAATGAAGTTATTTATAATTTTTAACATTAATTTAAAAAGAGCAAATGTATTTTAAAATGCATGTATGCATGTTCGTTCTGTATGTATGTATGTGCTGTATATAAAAACAAAAAAACACAAAAAATGTAGAATATTAATAAAATGAGCTCTGAGCTTTGTTTATGGTTTTGTTTTCAAAAACCACATTTGATTAAAAAAATTTTTGTAAAAAACGCAATGTGTCCCTCCCCCCCTTATCATAACATAAGAGATGTGTTATAATTATATATATATATACATTAATTATATACCTTCAACATCAGTAGGTATAAATATATATAATACATATGAATTTAGTATATGTATTAATTGCAAATTTGATTTACGTTTTTTCACTTCTGGTGGCTACTCCACACTAAGTTCAAATAAACTATATTTTAATAATGAAAGTTGAAATATTTTTGTGAAACCTTAAATTTAGCGTTGTACTTGAATAAAATTATGACAAAACACGAGTGCGATAAAGCAAATTGGTTTGGTTTAGTTATTGTTCTGTGTGCTTTCTATATGAGTGTCGCTTTCTATGATTATATGTACATATATGTATTTATATAATATTTCTTAAATTAAGACTGAAGGTCTCATTGTAGAAAAGCAAGCAAGTACTGAAGCAAATAACTTTTGTGTGTGTAAATAAGAAATAATTACTACTTACCACCAACTAATCAAAATTCATTCATTAAGTTTCTCACAATTAATTATTCTATCTCATTTAATGTTGAAACATTTTCACTAACAATAAGAATGTTTTTTGTTCTAAATTTTAATATCTGTATGTACATATTTTTCACCACAGCATGCAGTCTCTTCCCACTTTGTCTAGGAGGATATCTCACTCATTGCCCCTGTCGACGAACTTATATACCTGCTGACCTAAACGGGGTTAGGTCGCCGAAAGGGTAACAGCCCTTGGCCGGATAAAATCCGAGTCAGCTCCGGTGCGTAGAACCGGCTGTCATGACAGACCCAACGTATGCCCTGCATGTGGTAAGTTACCACCTCTTCATATGCCCCCTTAAACCAACTCATCTAACCCCCCTCTCCCTTTGGTCCAACCCCGTCGAAACAGCTCGTTTCGTGGACCTCCCACTAGATGACCTCGGCGACTTAGATTTATCAAACCTGTGCCTAAGCGGTGTTAGAGAATCGCTACAACAACAACAACAACACGAAACTAGAGACTGAAGGATTTTTATAAGAAGTTACAATATTATTCTAATGCCGAATCAAGAATGCCTGGGGGAGTATGCAACGGGTTGTATTATTTTACAGGCAGTTGTACTGAATATGACTTTTGAACAGGGAAGCATTGGACTTGGTGAGTGAAAACCGCCCGACGAACGAACCAGTACGGGAAATGAAATAAAAAAGGTTCTAAATACTCTTTATAATAGTAAGACAGCAATATAAGGTCAGGATATTGCAGTCGCCCAGAACCCTCCGACATAACCCTGCATATGCGCTGCATGCACGCCAGTAACCACTTCATTGCATGCTTTCTAAAATCAACTCATCTAACACCTAACACATAACACCTTTCTCCCTCTAGTCCGAACCAATCAGCTAGCCCATTTTCTGGACCTCCCCTCAGATGTCCTCGATGACTTAGACTGATTTTTTCCTCCTAAACGTGGTTGGATAGCTACATCAACAGCAATAACAGGTTCTCAGAGCTTACAGGATCATGTGCATTGACCGCGAAGGTGGATACACATACATTTTGCTAGTTATCAAGGCGCTCTTAAGTAAGTGACGACTACTTTGCCTTACATGGAATTCCACCTCCGTCGGCGTACATATAGGACCACCCACGGCGGAGATGGTAGTCAGTCAATCCTAACTTAAGCTATTATTTTATTGTCAAAAGTCTAGCGGTCGATATAGCCGGATGGTTATGCTGTCATTCTGAAGACCAATGTTCGAGCCCTGGTTCACCCCGAATTACAGGAAATTAGTTTTTCTAATTGCGTTCGTGCCTCGACAGGGAATGTCAAACCCTCCAAGTATATTTCTGCCATGAAATAAAAGTACATAAATTTCCTACGGACGTTCGGAGGCGGCTTTAATAAACTGTAGATGCCTCCACCTATCGTTTTATTTTTGGAAAACATAAAAGCACATACCACAAATTTGAGGAGAAACTCTGCCGTAAATCGCTTCATCTATATATATAAATAATAAATAAAGTGAAGACGGAGGTAATCAGATTCCTTTCCCAGAGGCAGCCGCATTCAGGAAGTTGATGACTTGAGTTATAGAACTTGTAAATTTGGAGCAAGAAGTGCACAATTTGTAGATGACCAATCCTCCAAATACTTCTTCTAGATAACACTATAGATTTCAAATGGCTGTAGTATTTATATGAAAAAAAGAGCTCACACTAAGCCAAATTTACAGCCAGAAGCTCAATTCGTTCAACGACATCAACTAGGTTGGATCGCCATTAGCATGACAAACTCTTAATACTAGTTTCCACTAGGAAGTAATCGTATTACTCAGCATATACAGAAACTACCGGTTTGTCGAAATCCTCTAGATCATTCGTTAGATGTCCTTGGGTTATGGATTGCCAGCAACTTACTCGCTCCCATGCTAGATAGCAGCTTTGAAAACGAGTTCTTATTCTCGCAGAACTAGTTGGCACATCCTATTCTGATTAATAGGTCGAAAATCCAATTGAACGATGGCTTCAGAACACAGCATTATGGGCAACGAAGAAGGAAAAGATCTACTTATAAGGATTCCGCAGCAAGTAAAACTTTAAATTGTTACCGGCGAATCAAAGCTACAGCACTGGTGAGTTCAGCATCTGTGGGGTGTCTGAATAACTGACTGACTGACAACACATTTGACATTTGCCGTCCTTATATTAGGAAAGCTATGTATGATAACTCAACTTAAAGGTTGTTCCAAGTCAATACCTGTGTTAGAGAAGGTAGTTTCAGTCAAAGAGCAAATAAAAAAAAAAGGTTTTTTGACAAGAGAACTAAATCCTGACTGGTATTTCGGTTACTACGACATTTTTTGTGTAAAATAATTGGTAGCACGGCATATTGTGCTCATTGCTTTGAATTACATATTTACATATGTATATGTACATATGTCTATGAAAAAAATCAAAATAAAATTTGTTAAAAGTTCCACAAAGAAACGATGCACATATATTTGAAATATATTTTTTTTTATAAATAAATATACATTTGTAAATATTAAAATTTAAAATGTCGGTTAGCAATTTTACCTATACACCCCTACCGCAACCTGAAGAGAGATCACTTGGGGATAACATGGATGGATCGGTAGACGTGCCCAAATGGACAGAACAGGCTGTTAGTGACTTCGGCACAAATCCTTTAAATTATGGTACGTTGAAAATCTAACCTTAAAATATACTAGTTGGCTTGTAGCAGCATTAAGTCATATCTGCTTAACTATGTCTGATAGATGATCGTGAGAATTGGAGTGTGATCTTATCAACCTTCAAAATTACTATCGCTATGATAATCATCACAATAATCGTATTGCTGGTGGGGTAAGTTGAAGAAGTTGAAGTGGCGAAGAGTGTGGCTACAACTACAAAATAATCTCTTACAGTATAATCTATTTGAGTCTGCGTTGCAAAGGACGTCTAAATCCAATCAAGGTTTATGCAGAAACGCCAAACCAACGCTGCATACGCTATGTTTTAACGGTGTTGATGCTATTTTTCATAGCTCTGATTTTGTAAATATCTGTACCAACTTTTACCGTGAATTTCTAAGAACTGTTTTGATTTTATTTCAAGATACTTTCTTATAATGGCTATAAAAGTGAGCAATGCGAAGAAATACGTTCAAGAGCACCACACTTCACGCGATACTAGATATCGGAAATTGGATCATGTTTTAGTTTACAACTACAATGAATATAGACAGCAGGGCGACCAAAAAGCGGATGGTTTGTAAAAATTAAGTTTTTAGTTAAAGTTTTGTATTCAATTCATCGTATTCCTTAGATTTGATTAAGGATTGGATTGATAAAGAAGTAGGGAACGATAAACTCAAAGATAAATGCCCACCAACGGATGATATAAGCACCACAGAGGAACGCGTGGAGGAAATCAATCGTTAATTTGAACTGCTATGTTTAGACGTTTTGGAATGGAGTGATTGTACGTATGTATATATTTGAATTTGGTGTAGAAGAGATCGAAGAAATCGCCGTGTTTCTTCGTTTTAAAGGCGTCTCTTGCGCGATTATAGCCTAATTTCCTATAGTGCACCAATCTTTTTGTTTGTCCATTAAGTGCACTTTGGAGCCAGGTCTTTCTTCAACTGATCCTTACAACTTTCAGGGACGGTGATCTAGCCATGTCAGCCCGGGCTTCAGCTTTGATGAATTAGTTGAGGGTGACCTTTAATATTTCACACATTACGTTTGATAAGACATTCCATGTCGGCTTCTGCTGCTTTGTTATTCTTCAGGCGATTCGTAATATAAATTCCATACCATAGACATCGATAGAAGGTTTTGGTTTCCTCATCTCAGAGGTTTCATTTTAACAGCCATTAAGCAGGCTTGGAGAGGTGTTCAGAGTCTTAGCTCAATGAGCTCTGAGCACGTTACTAGTCAAAACTTTTTTATGGTTCCTACGGAAAAAAGGGTTTCGGTCTTTAGGCCTTGTGATAGTTGACTCGTGTTTTCAAAGAATTCTCCAGTATTTCACCGGTGGGCCTTTTCCTCAAGTTCTTCGTGTTCTTGCACTTCAGTTTCTCTCATTTTCGATCCGTAAACGCGTCTCGCTTCGCAGCGTTTAGTGCTTTGAATGAGTGGAAATGTAATTAAACAATTGTTAGTAGAGATTTTGAGAACTTATAAATTTCCCAAGAGCATTTTGTTTAAATACTTTTCATAATTTTATAATAAAAATTAGAAACATCCATGGGCATTCACAGTTCTAAGAGTAGCAGGAGTTAATATCATTGATTATAAGAATATCTATTGCTTCACTCCTCTGTAAACTGGGTCTCCGCCCATGACCACCTCTACACCAGTTGCCTTCTAATCTGTTTATCTATTTTCAGTGACTCCTTCTATCCTTCTGTGACTTACTTATTAGCCTTAAGTCGACCGTTTCGGGACTCCGTTCCCCACCTCTCTCACTACGTCTTTGTAAATTTATTTTAATTGAAATAGAGATCTCCTCACTGACTTTTAGCTAGTAATTGCATATTAATTATATTTATTTTTAATATTAATATTATAATTTTTTATTTATACAAATGTAGATATGCGATTTTTCCAAAGAAATATGACGACACTAATGTTCCAAACAGAACCGGGTCGTAAAATTTTAAAGAAGCTAAATTTTCCAAACTTTCTTTCAAAAACAATGCCAATAGATAAAGTAAGTCAATTAAAGTTAAATACTAAACCGTTATAACTAAAATTAAAAAAAATGCATTTTTATATTTTTTTATTTAATTTTAAAACCTTTAAAATTTCGAGGTTTATTTAATTAACTCCAGCTTTTTTTATTTAAAATTTAATCGAGTTTGAATTTTTTTTCAATTGAGACTTCCATATTGTTTAAGGTTCCGTTCTGATTTTCGGTACAAATTTTGTTAATTCGTGATCTGTATTTTTTCTCAGATCTTGGATTTTTATCGCATCTTCAGTATATTGGACAATTTTTTTATGGCATTTTCTAAGCTTTACACATCAACAATGGATTTACCAGATATATTGGAGGCTAGAACAAAAAGCACATTGTCGCCACATTTTTCAGAAATTACTGAAGATTTTGGTAAATACAATATAATCTTTAAAAAGTGAGGTTATTAGAAGATATTCTATTATATTTTTATAATTAAATTATTTCTTTAAGGCAAACAATTTCGAACGCTCTCGAAGAAACTTGGCAATGAACCACAACCAGAGCGAAGTTTCAAATCAGCGGAAGTTGAAAAAAATGATTTAAGAGAGCCTCTTTGGATTTTTATCTGGGAATGGTTGTGCCATGTATTAATTATATTGGTGAATATGTTTATTTGTATTCCCACATTGTTTGCTCTCTTTATAAATTTTCCCTCAACTTTGCAAAATAAGTGTTTTTTTACGCGTTTGAGTGATGACAATCCGCAAGCCATTGTTGAGATGCTCCTACATCCTCAAAAACTCATTGTGTAGGTATTCTATGGACAGAGGGAATATATGTAATTGGCGCTTTGTAACCGCTCAAGCGATTTTCGGCCGAGCTTTCCGAATCGCAGTACGCAATGCTACCGCGGCCGCGCTTTATAGAAATGACTTTTTCGTGCCTGTATTGAAGGATGTTGATGTGGACGGCCTTTGGTTCCAACAAGAAGGCGCTGCATCCCATGCAGCTAACGGGGTGATCGATTTATTGAAAGAATCTTTCGGTGAGCGCATTATCTTGCACCTTAGATCCTGCAAGACTCTGCTATTTAACACCGATGGACTTTTTGTGGAGCTATGTGAAGTCGCTTGTCTGCGCAGATAAACCCAAAGTGATTGGCTCCTTAGTTAGAATTGGCGCGTTATTGCTGCAAAAAGAATTCGGCAGAAATTTATTTGAACCAGTTGCGATGGTCACTTGGTCGAAATCACTTTTAAAACACAATGGCAAACCCTTTATCTTTATAAAAAGCTAAATTCTAAAGCTAAAATACCAATAAAATTTTGTCTAATTTTGTTTCTCTCATTTCTCTATCTCTCTTAGATAATTCTCTCCTTGCTAATAGCATTAATGCTCAGATGCTGTGGCAAACGGCATAGAGGTGAAGCTAGATGCTGCAATCAAGAAAATGGATCCTGGCTTTTTCAACTGTACATAACATTTCTCTTCGATTTCTCGCTTCAAATACATTGAATTCTTCTCAATTATTGTATTTCCAGAGCTGCGTTTATGATATTCTTGTACCTTCTTCTCGCCTTATGTGCATTTCTTTGGCATTTTGTACACGGCGTTGGAGCATATAATACCGCTTGTGTCAGCAGTGGTGTCCATAGTCGAAGAGAACGTGAAGCTGAGCTGAACGACAACGACTTAAATGTCGATTGCCTAGATGAGAGAACCTTTAAAAAGCTCGTACACGATGAAGTAGATCTAAAGATAAATGTTAGCTTGCCAGAAAATGTGTCCTTGAATGGGGCACTCAACATTACGTTGCCCAATTTGCGAAAACAAGCCATAACATTCAAGCAAAGGGCGAGAATGTCAAAAAATCTCAATATGTCTAGTTTATGTGATGAAGTCAGGGTTAATATGGATCCAAAAGTTTTCACCGATGTTTACGAGGCAATGTACGGCTATGCGAACGGTGATATGCCAGATGATAATGACATTAAAACACTATCACTATGCAATTTGAATAGTTTTAAACTTTATCGAATTGATGAATATGAAGAGAGCACAGTTTACAAAACTGCCGAGCGCATGGCTAATTATTGTGATAGAGTTGTAGATTTCTTTAGTGAAAATTTCGCTAATATAACCACTGACTGCCTAAAGGGTATGGAGCATATGAGAGACGAATTGACAAGGGAAAATAAATTCAATCTAAGCAAACTTTTTGACAGCTTAAACGATATGTATGGGAATGAGCTTAATGGTTATGTGGATATGGCAACGGAAGCGCTGGTTAATAAAGCTGGTCTCTGTCAAAAACGATTTCGCGCCTCTAGTCAGGAAACGGATTGTGTGCGGAATGCCCACTTACAGGTATATTTGTTAGTAACATTATTTGAATTAATTAATTGTACGGTATTACGGTATAAGAAGACACTCTTTCTCAAAGTTGCTTCCAATTTTTGAGGCTTAAGAGTTATATCTGGATTTTAACCAAGATTCAGAGCCTTACGTGACTATAGTGACCTTAGAGGTTTTGAAACGACCGTTATGCGGTGTATTTTTGATTATGAACTTTTCTAAACATTAATATTTTTTGTCTCGAACTCTTCCTTTTACAGAATGTCACCTGGAGTGCTTTGCTGATATTGATGTGGTTATTTTTGCCATTAATTCCAATAGCTCTGTACTTAGCCAGATTATATGGAACGCTAGAACGAGCAAGAGAACGTGCAATGACCAGGGGACGCCCCTTAAACAGAAGAAGAAGAGAGCATAGGCCTAATTGCAGTTGTGAGAGTAGTAAAATGCCAACTACAGCCCGAAGTCAGTCAGCGGCACCGGCCGGAGGTCAACAATGTAATAAATGGGATACTAAATCGGTAATGGACGAGATACAAAAACATTTATATAAGAACCTTTGCCAGAATCCAGATTTATCAAAGAAAACAGCGGTACAGCCAAATGGTAAGAGGATGCGTGAAAAGGAAAATACAAGTGAAAGAATGGAACCACAAAACGATAAAAGTAATATAAAAGTTCTGCAAGAGCGTAGCGCTAATTATGCTATGCTGGGACAAGCTAATAAAGGTCTAATTGAACGAAAACAATCGAAGACATGCGAATCTTCAACCTCAAAGAATGTTGTTTCCATTTCTGTACAAAAGTTTCGTGGAAGAGATAAAGAGAGAGTTTCTGACGACAGTAAAATGGCAGGCCGTCAGAGCAGTTCGCTTACCAAAACCAGCCCTTTACGATTTAATGAGCCTAAAGTACCAAGAGAGCAGCAGCGAAATGACACGCAGAGACCAACAACGTCGAAAGGTATCAATTCAGTGTTAGCCAAGCCAGGTAATATAAAAATCGAAAAGGATCTTGCTAATAAGAAATGTTCTTGTGAGGAAAAATCCACGAACAAAGCCAAAAATGAACTTTTAAGTTCAATAAAACAAACCACAAGTAAACGAGAAGAGCACGATGAAGCTTGTGAGGAAATCTTCGAGAGTGATAAAAATGTGTTGAGTATCAATACGTCTATTCACATAATAAGATTTAATAAAAAAGATAATTAAAAATTATACAAACTTATGTCTTGAGTATTTTTGACCATTTTTTGAGAACAATTTTTTTTCATGTGGAAATGCTGAAAGTTTAATCCAAGGTAAGTTGTCGTCTATAAACTCAAAGAATGTTCGACGTCGAAAAGCTGCAATCACAACAGACAGCAAGACTCTCTGAGAGCACTTATCAGCAACTCCAAATAAGGGAACTGTGGAACGACTTCTCAAACTCCCTACGTACCGCCGTACTATTCTATGAAAAGATGCGACGACGACGTTTAAAGTCGTATAGGAACCAATGTGGTCATATGGTGACTAATGTCTAGGGAGCACGTCTCCAATCTTCTAAGTGGCAGTGAAGTGTCACTCCCGGAAAATGTAGAACCAGAAACCCCAATCGATTATGATGGAAAGACGTTCTATTACAAACCTGCCATGTGGTACAGAAGAGTGGACGACATCAGCCTAGAGAGTCTTTGCCAGAAAAGTTTCGAAAAAAACCGCACAAATTAATGCATACACCCAATACAAAATGTATTCTAGTAAAAAAATGCTACAACACCAAATTTATATTAATAACTTGAAAAAAAAATAATATTTTCCTACTTTCGAATTACACTTTTTGCATTTCCGTTTCCGTTTTGAACTTATGTGGGCTGATCCAGGGAACTTAGAATAATTTAAAGAACGTTCTCTGGTTGCATCATGATCAGACATCCGATCGAAGTCGATCTAAAATCGAAATTAATCGAATGACTTTGGATTTCGATACATCGCAAAAATCTCTTTGAATAAAATCTACGATTAATTAGCAAATCTATCTACTTTTCCACTCGCTAACAACTTAATCAATTCTATATAAGGATGAAACCAAATAGCGCTTCAGGCAGGAAGATGAGAGAGGTCCGTCATTGGCTAAATTAATTAGATATGCACTTTTTTTAATAAGTTTAGTTTTACTTAATTTAATACTATGGAATCAGTGGATTGTTGTGATCACTCAAAATTACATTCTTCAGCCACCTTGTCACCGATCGGACCAATACATCGTTGTTCCCCAATTTTGGTGTAATTTTATGGTAAAAAAATTTGTGGATGCGGTGGCGTTGCAGTTGTATGCAAGGTGAATTTATAGAAGGTGAAGTTGTCACATCATATGATTGCTTGTTCTTTCTTCCATTTCAACAAATTACACAAACAATATACATGAGAAATAGGTTTAGACATTACGAAGTTTTTATTACACAAACGAAATACACTGAACGAATTTCGTTTTTGACTTTTGGAAACTGCGAAATACACAAACAAAATACATAGGCTTTTTGTTTTTGTATTCTTGCTACTACCGTCTGTAAATTTACCTTGAGTTGAGTGTTTCACATAAGAACAGTGGCATTTTGGCATTTTAAAAAATTTGTATTTTATATTCGAATTTCTTCATTTCGATATTATTGTCGATTTAATTTGATTCCAAGTCGGAGATCCATTTAGAGGCACTTTAAATTAAAAAGCAATCAACTGGTTAATATTTGGAAGGAAACTACAATTAATTAATTATAATTTTAAGCGCATATATTTTTAAAATTATCTAACCACAGTGGCACTCAAAAAGTGTCGAGCCGCCAGCATTAAAGCAAACTTTTCTTCGTTATTTAACAACACTGGCGGAATTCATTTTCATTGCATTCAAGTTGCATGTGTTGCCATACATATTAATAATTTCTTTGATTTAATGGCAAACAAATAACTTTCCTGATCTTAACTTTTTAACCTTTTAAATTAAGAATTCAATACAAAATCATAAGAATAAGAAAAAAGCTAAATTCTTAATACAAAGCAAACAAGAGTCAGTGCTGGAAGAAAAACAAAAATATTTATTCAAAATTGGGCACAGCAAAAATTAAAATTAAGCTGGCATTGCTATGTGGAAGGTGAATACTGCAATTAAAAATGGGAAACGGGCAAACTGTGGATAATGAACTATTTTCGATTTCAGTGGAAGTTCTTGCTTCGGTTGGGGAAGACATTTAATCGCTGAGTGATGTGGGTGTATTCCGCGGCGTGGATGTGAAAGTTTTTTGTGTAAACTACAGTTAATTGGGGAAAAAAGAATGGTTTAAGACAAAAGGTGATTCACAAATATGCATTTAATTAAAAAGGAAATTTGCAAAATTTACTTTTTGTGCTGGAATTTATGGAAATAATGTCATCTTTTACTTAAGATCTCGCCTATTTTTTGTAGTGTTTTTCTTTGCCGCTGCATATAATACATATGTAAATTGATTTTTCCCCTATTTGGTGTTTTTTTTTCCTTTGTAAACAAGCAAAACTAGTGGAGTGTTTTTATTTGTGTTTTATGGAAAAAGAGTAGTATATGTTTCAATCACGTTAAATGATGTGATTTAATAAAAAATATTACGTTCAAGAGTGCTTTGATAGCAAAAATAAGATGATGTCTGGATCTCCATAAATATCTTTATGTGTGCAATTTAAATTGTATAAAGTATCTGCGCGTACTTGAGATTATGTTGACCCCCAGCAAAGAATGCAAGTGTGTATTAAAGATAAAAAATCTGTTAAAAATAGTAGGTTTCCACAGCATATAAGTTTATATATATGTATATGCATGAATATCCACTTTGCATATATTAAATGTGTTTTCCAACTAGATATTATTCCTTTTCTCTGTGTTTCTTCCTTAAACTTATTTAAGTATCTATATACATACATACATATATAGGTACCTACTAGCGAGCATTTACACAATATAGGTACGACTTGAAAATACATTGCAATCGTTATGAAGTGATGAAGTGAATCTCCTACATAAAAACAATATCAGTTTCTATGTATTCATTTTGACTATGATAAACCCTTTCACAAATATTTATTATAATGTTAACTAGATTATATTAGGTTATTGACATAAAATCCCTGCCCGTACCATTGACATAGTGCACTCGTATCTTGCTACTTTGTTCTCATCCAAACACTCATACCGTTGCGGTTCCCTGTGTGTGTATGAGTGGAACAACTCTATGTGGTATCCTCGAATTGAGCGGAAATGAATATTCATATGTACATGTCAGGCGTGTACATATGTATGTATTTTGATAAGAATAAGAAAAAACAACATTTAACGGCTGGGATATCAGTCTCACGAAATTCAAAACACAATTGGACTTAAAGTATCTACAAACACAAATTAAATTTTTCTATTATAATTGAATTGTTTGTAGTATTTAATGGAGTTTGACTATCATTTCGATGTAATAAAAATAAAAATTAAAGTTTCGTTTTAATATAATAAATGTGCTTTTTATTATTATTAATATTTTATTTTTTGATTGCATTTCCTTCTCATTGTTTTACAAATTCAAATGACACAATTGCGAATTAGAAATTAAAAAAAGTTTCGTTAAATTTTGTTTGTATGCTCCTGACACAATAGATTTAACTTAGGTACCTACATACAAACATATTCGTTTTATTGACCTACATAAGAATGGTGTCAGAAAGGTTAAGTCTTTGGAAATTTTGTAGGTTTTCATTGTATGTAAAAGAGGAGGAGTGATATCCATATTTTGTGTATATTAAATGTAAGTTTGTTGCTTTTACATGTATGTTAAATACCCATCTATACAACCGGAAGTGGTTAAAGTGATCAGCATCGATTGTTTACATACTTATTGTACAAACAGATTATGATTTTCTCCCCTGGTTAGTCAAACACACATTTATTTGGAAGCAAGCCGAAGTGTGAAAGCGTACCTTTTGTGTTGTGGCCCCAATAAATAGTAGAAATAATAGCCCTCGGATGAAAGACACCCTTATTTGATGATGAAACCTGGAAAGGTTGCAAGTATCACGATTTAAGAGCGCATCGCAGCAATGTCTGGTCTCCTACTTAGTAGGCGCTGCCCAGCTAGTTAATGTCTTTGATATTCTCACAACGCCGTCGTCCACGTTCGTGCGTGGGAAAGATATTTTATATTTTCGTTACAGTGTACGTCTGATTGACGTATATTGGATTTTTAAAATTGAGAGGCAGCAGTTGAGCAGATATTAAGGGTTAGGAGTTCAATAATTTATACTTTTCTGTTGTGAGAGGAAACTAGAATCCATTATCTTTTTTATTAGGCCAATGACTGTTACTCCTCCCACAATTTCCAAAGACCAATGTGTGGTTTATTTTAACGGTTAAACAACAAAATCGTTTACTAGTTTACCCAAAGCATGTCCTGCATGCAGTGAGAACCTGCACTTCACTTATCCCTTCTTCGGATGATCCATAAAACCTATTAAACTTGCCATCCAATCACCTCTAGTCCGAACCCATCCAAACTGCTCGTTTTCGATGCCTTAATGTCGCCGAAAGGGTGAACTCCGGTGAGAGCTGTAGAACCGTGTCAGCACCACCTACAATAACGGTTGGACAGATCGGCACAGACAGGCACTAAACGCCATTCACTGGTAGCCCATCAATACTCTCGTGAACTCTCTTCCTGTGGATGATGTTCTCAGAGTCAAACCACCACATTACGCAGACGAAGAACTAGAAAAATTCCATGTAATGCAGACTTAAATTTGGGTCTAAATATTGTAGTATATTATACTCTTACTTACTCAGACTTGACCTTGACATACCTAACGTATGTCCTGTTTGCAATGAGTCCTCGCACGACACTAACCACCTCTTTGCATTCCCCCCTAAAACCAACTCGTCTAACGCTCTTTTTTCCTCTGTGCCTGAAACACCCGTTGGCTGAGCTCGATGACTTAGACCGTTCCAGCATGCTTCTATGTTGGGTTGGTAAACAGTTACAACAATAACAACAACAATAACAATAATAATAATAACAACAACAGCAACAACAACAACGACAACAACAACAACAACAACATCAGCTACAACAAGAATAAATACTTAGTTGTTAGGCCTATTGGACAGTTTTTGTGATTTTGTAATGTTTTTGTACAGTACATAGTATCCCACTTGTCTACGGTTTCTATAACTTTGATTGGATCCGCCTTAAGGTGGACTTTGAAATCAGATTTGGATGGATAAAAACCTGCTAGAATTTACTTCAAATAGTTCTCCGTTTTATTTCCAACTTAGAGTTTTGCCAAAAGCTGTAGAAAAGAGTTGGAAAACTTGTCGACATTAATTTTTTTTTATTAAACATTAAATCGTGTTTACCTTATTAAATGAATCACGATGTATGCGTATGTACATTTGTATGAAAATATACTTGTTAAACCAATCTCTTAGAGGTCACGAATAATACAAATAAATGAATATTAATTCCATATATCCGCGCTTGTAACTTCGCGCTCAGTTGTTAACGCTCAAAAACTTTAACCGTTTCGAATTAAACAAAAGAAAAATTGGCGAGCATGATTCATCCAGCTGCGGCATATAACTATGTATGTGCATATGTGTGTTGTGCTGCCTTAATCAACCATAGTAATTTCCAAGCCTTCTAACTTATGCTAATGTATTTTTTGAATAAATCCATACATGCACATACATACATATCTACATGTGTAAGTTTGTATTTCTTTGTATGCATGCATGAATTTTCTTTAAGACTGGATTTAATAAACTTCCCCACACACATGCACGACCATATTAATAGCCTGCGTGTACTGTCTGCGTTGGATTCTGCAGTTGACGTTGACTCTTAGATCTTTTATATAGGGTTATCTATTTCGTGGTTTCAAAAGTACAGGGCTATATTTCGGACATCTGACAAACTAAATATTGCTTTAAAATATTTTAAAATATTTGTTGGCAAATTCTTCGTAAAAACAACTACATCGCGCCAAGTTTAGGTAGAAGGAAAAGTGAGAAATCAACAACAAGTGAAAGCGGCACACATGTAGCTAAATGGGATAACCATTGGCTCGTGCTGTGGGCATCCCAAGTTGGAATCCTGTCCGAACAAAGGTGTCTGGAAAAAGAAGTCTGAAGAGGAAACGCGGTGGTTTCCGATATAGCAGCTATAACTTCTATCGTCCAAAGCTGTCACTATTTCCATTGGGTCTGAAACAATTCCATAAAAAACATAAATATGTTTTGTTTTAGTTTTCTTTCTGCCAGTCATTTATGAAAGTGGATCGTATAACAAATTGTTCAAACCTACCAAAAAAGGTGATTCAAACTTGGCCACTTTTCGTCTGCATGGGATCCGAAAGGTTCCAATAAGATTTATTAGGTTTATTACACTATTAATTCCATTACAACTTATACGCCATTATATATTATATACTATGTTCCACATATTATGCAAAGCCGAAACAATGAATCGATCCCAGCCCTGCTTCCCGGCAGAAGAAGGAAAATGTGTACCCAATGATAATTTGTGCTCAAAACTACTACTGAACCAAATATTCTGTAAGTTCAACGATAAATAAAAATTTTTACAATAAATCGGTCCCGGTAGAAAAAATGTTCCCATGTCAATTTAGCCAAAAAGAGCTACCTGTGTACCAAATTTCATTTAAATCAATAGATTTAAAAATGAATTAAAGCTTTTTTTGAATAGATCTGTCCCAGCACCACTTCCCGGCAAATCCTTTCTTATCGGGTGCATACGTCATACGCAGAACACACCCTTCAAGTTTCAGGTTACGCCTACCATTGGTCTAAGCTGTGAGCTGATCCTTCCGTCATTCAGACCTTAACCATTTATATATGTATTTACGAGTATACATATCATCAATCAATTGTTAAAACTAAAGATATTCGAACCGGTTATAGAAATTGTAAGGCCTGTGCATCATCATCTTGCCCAATTCCACCTCAAATATCACCGCTTAAAAGACCCGAATGTGTATTATTTCGCGACGTTCTCAAGAGCTGGATAATTCTTACGGCCCATTATGGCGTTTTAAGCTCTTGTACTTAAACCTACTGTCCATGTCAAGTCCATTTTTAAGAATTTAAAGAGAGGTCATTCACCCAAAAAACTTGCTGTTTAGTACGCTCTTTGGCTTAACTTTGGCTTTGTAAACGATATGATATTTGACTTTTTTGAGGCTTGCAGCTGGGGAACACGACTTGGAGAATATTTGGTTTCAACAAAATAATGCCACATGCCACACAACACGAGTGAATTTGACTTT